TTCCTTACATTTTCTAATTGTTAGTATGCAGCTTCATAAAGGATTGTGTTGGTCAACGATTATTTAATCAGAACTTCTGACATATTCCTTCTAGGAAGAAAAACCCTCCTGAACAACTGTATGTTTTCTAAGATAATGTGTTAATCTATTACATTTGAGTCTTGACTTCCAGTTATCTTTGAGCTATATGTAATATGAATATTAACTATACTAGCTTTGTTATCATTTTATTTTCTATTGAAAAGAAGGAAGAGATGCCTATATTAATAATTTTATGTTGCACCTGTCAGCCACCTTGTCGTGGAAGGTCAGAAATGTCAAACCAGTCTGGATTAGAACATTGGATTGTGGGAAGCAAATGGCCCTATGTGTATACAGTTTTCTTCAAGTGACCTTCTGTACCATGGAAGTCCAGCCTATGAATGAAAAAGCCTGAGAGAATGTGGAGCTGTGTGTCTGTGCTGCTCACGGACTAAACCAACACAGTGAGTTAATGTTTGTTCTGAAAGACACCTTTGTTACTAATGTTTTAGCTTTGAGACACTGGGCAAGTTATCTTACATTTCGTATATATATATTCCACGTATATATATCTGGAATATATATATATGTATATAATAAAGCTACCTACTTTATAGAGCTTTGTGAAGACTACATGTTAATTCAATCAAATTCACTATGAAAATATTCACTTAACTCTTAGTACACACTGGGAAGTATGGCAGATGCCAGGAATACAGTAGAGAAAACCAGAAAGCTCTTGTTCCTAAGGCCTGTCTAGTCTAGTAAGGAAGCTGATAAACAAGTACATAGCAAGCTTTCAAAGCGGCAGTTGACAAAGTACAGGGATTCATTCAATAGTCTCTAAATGGGTTTCTCCAGATCCATCCTTGTGCCTTCAAACCCCTCCACAGGTCTGTTAGGAGATACAAAGTCCTAGACAGAGTTTAAGACCTGCCTAGCTGCCAGCTGCCCCTCCAAGGCATTTCCAACTCATCTTCACCTCACTTAAACTGTTGCTACTTTTGAGAACACAAAGCTTGTCCATCTCTGGGCATTGCTAAAATCTCTGTGTGGACCACTTTCTCCCAGCATATCCATGTGACACACCTGTCCCTTTGTTCAGGTCTCTGTTCCTATACATACCACCCTTTTCTTGGTGAGACCTTGTGAGAAGATGCCACCTAAAAGTCAACACTCCTCTCTCCCCCTTACTGTATTATTCTAATTCCCCCATAGCTCTTTTTAAAATATTGATTTTTTTTGGTACCGGGGATCGAACTCAGGTCCTTGCGCTTGCACAGCAGGCAGTGAAACCATAAAATATTGATATTGTTATGCATTAACTTGGCCAGGCTACAATACCCAGATACTTGGTCAAACATTATTCTCTACATATTTCTGTGTTCTAGAATGTTCTCCAACAGGCTCCTATATTCAGAGCTGTTGGGGCTTTTGGAAGATGATTGTATCATGGATTCAGAGCTGAATGTGTTGTAGGAGGTGGGGCCTGGTTGGAGGTGGGCTACTGGGGGTGTGACCTAGAAAGGTGTATCTCCCTTCCCAGCTCCTCCTTTTGCTCTCGGCTTCCTGGCCACCATGATATGAGCAGTTTTTTCTTTGCTATCCTGTCTTAACAGCCAGCCAACCATGGACTGAAACTGTGAGACAAAATAAACTTCTCCTTTAAATTGTGGGTGTTGGGTATTTTATTCTAGCAGTGGGAAAGTAAGATTCTGTGAATTTAGGTGAGATTAATATTGAAATTAGTAAACTTTGAATAAGGCATGTTATCCTCCATAACGTGAGTGGGTATCATCCACCAGCTGAAAGATTTAATAGAAAAAGACTGACTTCCCTCAAGCATGAAGGAATTCTGCCAGCAGCCTGCCTGTGGACTTGCAACAATAATTCTTCCCTGGCTCTCCAGCCTGCTGACCTATCTTATGGATTTTGGACAGGCCAGCCTTTAAAGTTGCATGAGCCAATTTCTTAAAATAAATCTCAATTTTTTAATATACATATTCTCTGGAACCCAGATACACATTTCTGTCTTCCTGGACCAGAAGGTATCATTTATAAGAGCCAGGACTTTACGGTTCACTACTCTACTCTTCCTCCTCAATAAACTTTTGTTGAATGAAGTGAGTGAGACAGTCATGTTGGAAAAAATGCTACTAAAGGAAATAAGCAGGGTAATGAGAGTTAAGCTGGAGATACAATTTCCTTTTCGTACTAGGTTACTGTCCCCAACTTCACGTCTACCTGGAAGCTCACAATGTGACCATACATGGGACAGGATCTTTGTACCTGAGATGAGATCGTACTAGATTAGGGTAGATCCTGATCTAATAACTACCAGTGCTATCTTTGAAAAAATATATACAGGAGGCTCAGAATGGAGTGCTAGAAATGCCACATGAATACATAGAGACATGAGGGTAGAACAGCCAGAGGGTGACACTGGTGGCAAATCACACCAGGAGAGTGGGCAGCCACCATTAACTGGGAAGAAACATGGATGGCTTCTCCCACAGAGACTCTAGTTGTAACCTTACTGACAGGCTGATTTGTGATTTCTAGCCTCCAGAACTGTATGAGTACATTTTTGTTGTTTTAAGCCACCTAGACCTTGGCACTGTGTCACAGTAGTCTAGGAAACTCCTCCACCAGTTCCCCAGGCTGCAGTTCCCTACACATCATTGTGGTGTCACTTTTTTCCTTAAATTCTTTTATTGGTACCTTTTAGGTACACAATACATTTACATTTATCATTGGGTGTTTGTACCTGTCAATGATGTATCTTGGTTCTTATTTTTCCTCATTCCCTGTGTGCCCTTCCCTATTTACATAGATTTCATTTCCTTTTTTTTTTTCCTTTTCTCATAATTTTTCCTTTCCTTTCTTTCCTTTCCCCTTCCCCTCCCACCACCCCTACCCCTTTGGACCTTTTCTTCCTATTTCAAATTATCAATCATTCATTTTAATCATTTTAACCCTTATTTACACTTTCAGTTTCTCATACTAGAGAAACTATTCAGTATTTATACGTGTGTCCTATTTATTTCACTTAAGAGTATGGCCTCAATATGCATCCATTTAGCTATAAATGTCTCTATAGTTTCTCATTCTTTATGGCTCCATTTTATAAAAACCCCACATCTTCTTTATCCAGTTTCTAACTGATGGGCACTTGGGCTCTTTCCAAGCTTTAGCTATTACAAACTGTGCCGCTATGAACATGGGTGCACATATATCGCTGTGGTATGATTCTTTTAATTCTTTGGGGAAGATATCCAGCAGGGGAATAGCTGGGTCAAATGGAACCTCTAGTCCTAGTTCTTTGAGGCATCTCCATACTGATTTCCCCAGTGGTTGCGCCAGTCTGCACTCCCACCAACAATGGAGGATTCCTTTCTCCCCACACCCCCGCCAACATTTGTTATTGGTTGATTTCTTTTTTTTTTTTTGGTACCGGGGATCAAACTTGGGTTCTTGCACTTGGAAACCACTGAGCTAAATCCCCAACCTGGTTGATTTCTTGACAGCAGCCATTCTTTCTGGGGTGAGGTGGAATCTCAGTGTTTTTACTTTTCATTGTCTGCCTGGCTCAGCAGCTCTCCACTTGGCCATCCTGTAACCTTGCATCTGGACAAGGGACAGGGAAAATCTGCATGTGGATGCGAGCTGGTGTGCTATAGTTTTGGGTTGCAGAAGGGTAGCAAGCTTTTTCAACTCTTCATTGTCTTGGTTGGGAAGAAACAAACTTCCAATTGTGCTGGGAATCTAGACCAGAGCTTAGATGTCACCAGCTGACTGCACAATGGGACATCAGACCATAAGGGGGGTGTTCCCCAGCTAAGAGGGGTAAAAAAATGATATACAATACTAAGCATTCTCCCAGAATCCCACCTGTACAGCTCCACCTAGGACACTGTAAAGCTTCTCTCTGGCAGAGGCAATGAAGCCTCAGGTGGGTGGTGTGAGCGCTGTCACTGTCAGTGCTCTGTGTCCAGTGACTCTGGAGGGGAAGCACATGGGAGAGTGCAGGGCAGGTCCATTCTGGCTCTGCAGCTCAGCACCTTGCCTTCATCAAGCTTATCGCACACTGTAATTGCATTTTATGTGATTCATTATTTTGTCTGAAAGGATCCTTTGTTTAACCAAAAATCCGTGGGAGGCTGGCGAGTATGACCTTTTTGCCCTGCACTGTGTCTGTGGTACGTAGCAGTGCCTAGCTCACAATAGGCATTCATATTTACTGGGAAAAAAAAGTTTTTGTTTTGTTTTTGGTACTGGGGATCGAACTCAGGACCTTGTGCTTGTGAGGCAGGCAGCGGCACCACTGAGCTAAATCCCCAGCCAAAAAAAGTATTTTTTAAAGGTTCCCTTCAGGATGCTAAAAGTGCCCTGCTAAGGATGGCTAAAAATCCCTTACAAGTAACCTTCTCTCTCACTTTTTAATCACCCTCCCTTCTCTATGGGCCAGGTGAAGATTCCCTTCTTATCCATACATAGAGGACTCTAGCTACCCACTAAAGAGGCTTCCTCTTCCCAACTCAATTTAGGTTATTTTTAATCCCTACAAAGGAAATCCTATGTGAGATTCTAATCTGAAACAGGCGCAACTGGGTCAGTGGCGGGGAGAGAGGTGGGCCAGACCCTCACAGACTTTCCCTTTGTGAGCTCCTAAGGCACTTCCAATAAGCCCAACCCCCAGGAAGCCCCACAGAGTCCTCAGTTCAAAAAATTCCACCCTAGGGAACCTAGGAGATCCGTACAGGAGAGGAACAGGCCTCTGACACCTGGACTCAGTGGTAACTGGGCCTTTAGTCTTTGATTTTGACTCAACTGTTCACATCACTTTCAGCCCCAGGAGGTGGTAGACCCAGAACACAGATTCCAGCTGTTGAGAAATGTCCCTCTCCATCTTTCTATATTCACCTGGTAAAAGGAGGACTCCTTCCACAGGACTGGGGTCAGCACAAAACACAGTAGAGTCACATAAGAAAAATAACTTTGTTATTAAGAATATACAATCATACAAAAGTACTTCATAATATCACATTCATAACTGTTTGAATATTAGCTTGAGTGTTATATGACCTGTTTTAAATAATGAACAGAGCTATTGAAGTATAAACTAGTTACTGAGAAGTAAAAACAAACTCACAACACATGGAAATCCTCAGGGTCCTTGCTTTGGGAATCTGGCAAAGAATGCTGAGATCTCTGAGGGATATATTATAAAAGGTTCCTTTTTTTATGATTTCTCTAAAGTGGCAACATTTGTAAAAGAACCATGCAAAGCCCATGATTTCATGCTTTAACAATGATGGTCATTGTGTTTTCCAAATGGAAAACTATTTTTGATTTGTTATGAAACATATGTGCTGACTATGCCAGGAAAAATTTCATCAATTTTCCTGAATTCATGATTAATACCTTTAGATGGCTTTATTCTACTAATTGTGTGGCCCAGATCCCTGCAAGTAACTTTTCAGGAAGGTTCCCTGGGAGATAAGCTTGCAGAATGAGGCTGCTGTGGCTGTCTCTGCAGAGCAGCTTGCGTGGGTGAGGAGAGTGATGGACAAAATATGATGAATTGCTGCTGGAAAACCCAGGGTGAAGCCTGGTGCCTGGTTATGGAGAAAGTCTTTTCATGAATGATTGTGATGGCCATCCCAAGGCAAGGCTAAGGCGGTTGTGAACCTTAGAAAGGGAACACACCCAACCAGGTACTACTCTGCACCTGGTGGGGTTTCACTCCTTATTTCCCATTAATGCCAAAAGGCATTTATTATTTATGTGTTTGGCTATGGACATATTTGTCACCTTAGTTTACACTGAAATTTCTTTGGTCAACTAATTCTGAGGCAGGTGTTGGGAATTAACACAGAAGGTGAAAAAAGGCAGCTTCCTCTTTGTATCCCCAACCCCCAAACTCCTATTTTGGCACATAAAACTTTTAATTTCTCTGTCTAGAACTGCGAAAGGAAAGGTTTTCCTAAACTAAAACACATTCCCTCCTTACTATTTTCAACAGCAGAGTTTTATTATCGTTGCTTGCAAAAATTTCATGTCAACATTTTTACTAAAGGGTCAAGGAAGTGTACAAAGATCTTTTTTCTCCATGAAATATGTAGTGATTTCAGAAAACTGTGGCAAATTTTAACTCCTCTCTCTCTAAAAAAAGGCATTTCCACTTTGCTTTGAGCAGAAGTCCAATTTAGACAGTGAAGCTTTGGTTTTGTATACATAATTAAAAGCTATATTAGAACTAACAGTGTCTTAAATCTTATCTTGGAAATATATAATTTGGACATATAGAGTATGTACTTAGTTCTTGCAGTAGTCTCAGTTTTGAAAAGCTGAGGATTAATAATTTTCGAAATTGATCTGGTACAGCACATTGAGATCATAAAATACAGGTTATTGTGGGTTTTGCTGGAGATTATTATCTAAATTAGTTTCATGAATCACAGATATTTTGACTTTTAGCTCATTCTTTTGATATATTTTCTCAGCCTCTGGCCAAACATGCAGTTTGCTTGTATTGTATCAACATTTGACAATAGAGATTATATTTCTAAACACAGTTCACAGTCAAGAAAAAGCAAAAGTAACTAAATTGCTCATTTCAAAAAAATTAAAGATGAACCTAATCATCTCTCATAGAGCCTGTGCAGGTTTCTTTTTGAGCATTCATCCACACTCTTTACATACTGTGCCGCACAAGCAGGCAGACCTTGAACGTCCCAGATGGAACTCAACAGCTGTTGCACCCATCTCTCCACGACCTGGCAAGGCCATCTGTGGTGAAGATTCGATTCTGGAGCGATTGAGGGTACAAGGGATGACAGAAAACAAGCACTTCTGGTGTGTTTGCCTTCAACTTCAAATGCTGGCAGTCAGTCACTGGGGATCTGCCATGATTATGAAAGAGCGGAGCCAAGTGTTCATAAAAGACTCAGCCACGTCAATCTCTAACACGGCAGGATGGAAGGAAGGAAGCCCGGTGCTATGGAGATTTACAGATGACTGTGTCCTCTTGTTCTTCAGGAAGAAGACTGAAAAGGGCATACAAACTCAACCATGGTGGTTTTCTTCCAACAAGCTGTCACAATAGGGTAAGCAAATGACTTAGGTTCAAAGGATATGGAAAAAACTCAAAAACAAACCTCTGAGAAACATAAAGGGATGTTTCAGGAAGAGAGAGAGAGACCCTGTGGCACACAGATGTGGCAAACAGTGTGGTAATGACTGTGTGTGAAGCTCAATGTAAGGGTTCAGATCCCTTGAACAGGAAGATAAGACGCTCTTCTGTGTGTCCAGGGAGAAAGTAGACCCCTCAAAACCTGAAAGAAGCCGCTGAAACCAAGAGGCCCCCAACAATGTAGAGAAGGAGCAGATCCTCTGGCTGGCTGCCTGTTCCTGGAGCCTGTGAATCCTAAGAAAGCCGTGAAAGAAACACGCTTCGCTCTGGGACCCAGAGGTGCTCTGAGAAGACACAGAAACTCCATGACAGGCTGGGAAACATACCTCCTTTTCTGAACTTCCCACATTACTGAGAGAAAAATCAAGGAGAAAGCCTGAAAGACCTGGAATTTGGACTAAATTAAGGAAAAACTGGAGTATTGGAAAGAAAATTTTTGCCAAGCAAAGAAAAACATTCCCCCTCCCCCATAAAAGAGAACTCTCGACAGTGTATTATTCCCATTATGTTGGCAAGCTTGCTGGCTCCAGACAAAGACTTGTAATGCCCAATGAAAGCTAATTTACCTGCCTCTGCCAGGGGGGTCCTTGCCAGGGGGTCCCTCTGTTTCAGGGGGGTCCTTGCCCAGGGTTCCCCTGCTCCTCTGCCAACAGCCCATGCCAGCAGTCTCTTTCCAATTCACTGTACATTGATCAGCTTGGATCATGGTCCAATGGCACCTGGTCAGAGCAGGGAATTCTGGACTCCTTCCTAAGGGTCAGCCATCTTACTTCTTACTTAACAAATAACTTGTGATTTACAGAGCAGGACCATACTTTGATGAAATAGCTTTAAAATAACCTGGTAACCAGGAGTCCACTGTTCTAACATGAACTGGGGAATTTCATTCCCTTATTGTCACTGAAAAAGAGGATTTATTCCTATAGACAGAACTTTCTTCTCCATGAAGAACTTTCTTCTCCATAGATAAGCATGGCAGGAACACTGAGCTTAATCATATTTGAATCTTAAAATGTAACAACCTATATGGCAATAAATATACAGCTGTAATTCTCTGTCTTCCTAACCTCTACTACTTCTCTCCTTTCTATAACCAAATTTGGGAAACAAGGTTGGATAACAGGATGGAATATTTGAAACCTATGAGGTTGACAAGGAAAAAGAATTATCCATCAAGGTAATCTTTACGGTTGTTCACTCCATTCTAATGAAAGAGCTCTAATTTACATACAAGAGGAGGAACACAACCATTTTGTGTTGAACATGACACCTTTTTTTTTTTATAGAAGTTAGCTTCAAGCTTTCTTAGAGCTTACCTTAGAATCTTTTCCTTTTCTGGTAGAGCGCCCAATTTTAAGATGTGGCAAGAGTACTTAGCTCAGAAATCCAGAAGCTCCTGAAAAATTAGGATGTCAAAGAAAAGTCCCAATGCAGACTACCCAACTAACTTCCTGTGAACATTGCATACATTCATCATTTTCTCCCTCCTGTCTTTAGTAGGGCACTCTGAAAACAGCATTTAGAAGAAGAGTAGTGAGAAAGCAGAAAAAGAGTTAAGGAAATGAAAATGTTCCTGTCTAGGTCTCCAGTAATTTTTTCTTTAGATGCTTTAATTCCAGGCGAAGGTGCTCCTCTTTTCTGCTGGTCTGAACATGTGGAACGTGCTAGGGGTGAAAGTCTCCAGCGGCTCCCAAGTCTCTTGCCTCAGTTCTTCCTGGGTAGTCATCTCCAGAGCTGAAGTCCACGGTCTCTGGGTAGCTGGAAAATTCCTGAGGTAAAGGGAACTCCTCTGTTGAAGAGTGAGTCCGGTGCCCGAACACCTTTTCCTGCAGCTCAGCAATGTCGTTTCGGATGTCAGCCAGCATAAGGAGCAGGAAGTCGAAAGAACCTGGTGGTCCCTGCACAGTGGGAAAAATCAAAGCTGCAATTTACAACGATTCACCCATGGCAACAGTGGACTCCCTGACTCCATGATCTGCTGGTCCTGGTGCTTGCTGGTATCCCTTCTGGATAACTCTGTGTCCCAGATGGAGTTAAGTATAAGGACTGATCGCAGTCTGGGACACTTGAGGTTGTCTTCTAATTCCCTATATCAAATATGAACATTGGTGATACATTCATGTGTTCTTCTAACTCTAGGCTATATCAAGGCTGGCAGACGAAAGAATATGAGACTAACTCTCCTAGGGTGACTTTCCAAAGAAATCTGGAAGACACTTATGAAAACAGTGGAATGGTGGTTAAGAGGTTGAGGTTCTGTTGGGTTTAGATCCCAACCCTCTCACTTGCAAGGTGTGTGGTCATTGGCAAAGAACTTGATTTCTTTGGGTTTCAGGTTTCCCCAATCTATAAAATGAGGCCAACAGACCAACATCGTATAGTTTCATAGGGTCCAGAGGTCAGGATTTAAATGACTTAATACAGGTAAAAGGTTTATAGCATAATAAACACTCCAAAATGTCTGTTCTTTCAAAATAAAATTAAGATGTTTATAAGATGATTGACTTATAATAGCAAGCTACATGAGGCTGAGAGTATGTTGCAAAGACACAAATTCCTGGACTACTAGGAAAGGTTAAAACAAAAGTTTCCTAATTTTCCTGTTTACTGAACATCCTTCATCATTATATAGTATAGCTTTAATTTCCATGCAGTGCTGTGGTGAAGTGTGATAAAAAAAAACATGCATATTCTGGGCCTGTTACAACTTAAAGGTGAAATTGTTATTACCCCTGTTATGGCTCTTGCTGTGGTGGCTACCACCTTAGAAGCAGCAGTTTACACTGCAAAGCATTTAGCCAGGCATGGTATTTTGCTACTATGTGACTCTAACGATAACTACTCAAAGAGTGGCCAATCAAACTGCCCTACTGGTACTGTTCAAGTGAGGAGATGAATGCCCAGAGATGCTAAGTGAGTCCCTATGGTCAGAAAGCTAACAGATGAAAGAAGTGAGACCTCCTATCTCTGTTGCCACAGCTGTCAGTCTTACTTCAGATATCACACTTACTACTTCAGAAGTAGCAGACTTATTTGCATTTTCTATATTGTTGGATGTTACTAATTTCCATTTTGAATCTCCTAGACACTGCTGAGGTATGCAGTTAATTTCTTCTCAGGTCTCAAACAGCCCCGCACATCTTTGACCTTTGTGAAGGAGTTGGTCATGTGGCCTGTTAGGGCTGTACTGGTTTACATTCTCAAGTGTTCCAAGTTCTGAAAACCCACTGCTTTCTATTCTAGTTCTTTGAGAATTTTATGATACACTGTACTTGGAAACAGACTCATGGCATACTGAACTTTATAGAATGCATTCCACATAAAGATTAACCATGATAAAAGAAAAAGTAGCAATGGAAAACAAATTTAGAAAGTAATCAAAACCAGCTGTTAAAGGCTTCCATGACTCTCTTCCTAACAACAGAGTTCTGGTTAGGTGGCGTCTGTGACGAGGACCCACTTATAGTCTCTCATAAGGATAAGAGTTGCATCCCTGAGCACATTCCCACTGTGGAACCAGGACAGGTAGTGCCACTTACAGGAGACCCTCTGGGCCCAGGTGCTCCTCTCTCCCCCTGAAAACAGAAAGGCTAGAGTTAGTGTTCCGGAGCAGATGATCTCCACCACACAGACTCTGTTCAGATACTCACCTTTCACAGCCATTTTCCTGCACAAAATAAGTACTGTATTTTGTATCGGAAGCAAATGTAGGAATGAAGCTGGACTTGTAGGAACTGCTTATGGGAACAGAAATACTCAGGTCAAGTGTTTTTCATGCTCATTTCCCCCTAAGTCACACATTTTCGACCAGATCTGACAAGTATTTCCAGACAGGATATGGAATAACAGAAACTTTCTAAAGTATAACACACTGACTTCTTTTGGGAACCAATAGCAGGAAGCCCTCAAAAGTGAAACAACCCACTTGTATAGAATGGAACTTCTGCTTTGACTTAATAATAATCTTAAAGAAATGGAGATATACCAAAAAACCACCCTAAAAACAACACTGGATGATGAGAAAAACACATGTTAAGTATCACAAAATAGAGGTTTATTTAAAACTTACAGGGATCTTATTTTTTAGGAATGGTACTGGTGGTCATATTGGCTTTTAGGGTTCATTGTATACTTTAAATTTTGTTCCCAGTTTTGCAGATAAAAGTACAGGGTGAGTATCCCCTATTTAGAATGCTTGGGGTCAGAAATGTTGCAGATTTCAGAGTTTTTTGGATTTTGGAATGTTTGCATAGACTGCCAGTTAAGCATCACTAATCTGAAAATCTAAAATCTGAAATACTTCAAAATCCAAAAATTTTGAGCACCATGTCAATGTTTAAAGAGTTTGAGATTTGAGATTTTAGGATCTGAAATATGCAACCTGCATATCTGTGTTATTGCTACATGCAACACCGGGAGGTAAATAGTGCCTGTTGAACTTTACTTAATGCTTTCACAGTAAGTGGAAAAAGAGACCTTCAGCTTGTGTGAACCACTCATAAGTCTTACCTTAGAGCCATCCCTTCCTGGTGCACCTGGTGGACCCTACAATATACAAGGATCTGGCTTAATAGAAGGAAAAGGCATAGGACACATACTTTCCCTGACAATAGTAAGCGGATCTCTGATAAGATACTGACCACAGGGCCCCTCCGGCCTTGCTTAATGTGGGATAGGTCAGGAGATGGTCCCATGGGTCCCATCGAGCCCCGAGGGCCGGGCTGCCCAGGAGGGCCTGGCATACCAGGGAAGCCCGGGCTCCCCTTTGGTCCTGGCGAGCCTGTAATCAAAGAACAGCTCATTAGCTCACACGGCCTGTGGGGAAGCCAAGTTGATTCTGGTGGATGAGAATGTCCAGGAGCCCTTCAGCCACTTTTCTTTGTACTCTGCCCCTTTGCCTTCTGACACTACCACAAAGGTGTCCCATGGGAACTTTAAACTTAACTTGATCAAAAATGACTTCCCCATTTTCCTCTCTTTTCATGGACCACCAGTTTTATTAGAAACTTGAGAATCTGACAAATTTTCCTATTTCCACAACCTCCTTACCCAATCAGTGACCAGCTCCTACCCCAACAGTCTGTGCCTATTTCCTCCATTACATGTCATCAGGATACTATCACATATGGGTAGTAACTATCACATCTGGATAGCGGTTAAGAGTACAAGTTTTAGTGTCAGGGAGACCTAGGTCTGAATATCTGACAAGTTGCTTGCACTCTTTGAACCTTAGTTTCTCATCTCTATACCTCTAATAAAAAGCTTCTTTATAGAATAGAATGGCTGTATTTAATGAGATTTTAGATATACATATACACACCACTTAGTGTAGTGCCTCACACATAGCAAACACTAAAAATAAATGTTAGGTCTTTGCCTTTCTTTTGTTTGATTCAACTCTTTCTTTAGCTTGTCCCTCTACCTCCCAACAATCTTGTTTACTCATTACTCATTCTTTATATTTCTGTATCAATATTATTTCTAAAATAAGTCTTATTGTGTAGTTTTCCTAATTGCAACCCTTTGGTACAAAAGCCTCAAGGCATTGGGGTGGGGTAGCAAACTCTCTCCCCTGTAGGCTTCCACAAATACTGACAGACAGAGTAGAAATGCTATCCCATGGAAGATTTGCTACAAATTCAAGGCATGTTGCAGTTAAGCATGGGCAAGAAGATCTCACCTCAAGGTTCACATGCACAGCTCAAGTTCAGGATTACAGCTGTAGCAAGAGATCTGAAAATGTTCTCTAGTCTCACAATTCTAGCATGGAGTAGTAAGTACCTGAAGTCTACCATCAAGGGAAAGGCAAGGGTGTAGAGAGATGTGTAAGAGGTACTGAAAACTGGGCCAGGGATTTAGCTCAGTGGTGTCGCTGCCTGCCTCACAAGCACAAGGTCCTGAGTTTGATCCCTGGTACAAAAAACAAAAAATAAAGAGTGGAGTACAAACACTCAGAAAATCCCATTGGTATCCTCACTCTCGCTAAGCATAAGGCAACAGATGGAGGAATTTGAAAATTTGAAGACTGCAAAATACACCCTGACAAAAGAAGAGGGTACCCATCTCAAGGACTAATTATCATATACCCTACTGTTTTCCTACAAATGATGTGCAGCATTCAATAAAAAATTGTGAGGCACATGGAAAAACCAAAAGCAAAACCAGCTATTGTCAAGTGATAGAACAATCAGCAAAACCAGACTTGAGATGACTTGAACACTGGAGTTAACTGTCAGGGATTTAAAAATAACAATAATTAACATATTAAAGGTGTTAGTGGAAAAGGACAGATAGCTTGCTCCAATAGACAATTTCAGCAGAGAGATGGAAATTAGAGGGGGAAAAGGTCAAATGGAAATAAACACAATATTAGAGATGAAAACATTTTTGATAGGCTCATCAGCAGATTGGTCACAGTTGATGAAAATGTCAATAAACTTAAAATTTGCATCAATAGAAATTCTCTAAAACTGTTAATAGTTTGGATATATGCGCCCCAAAAGGCTCATTGTGTTGAAGGGTTGGTTGCTGATGAGATTTTGGGAAATGATTGGATCATGAGAGCTCTAACTTCATCAGTGGATTAATCTACTGGTTAAATTTTGAGATATTTAGGTATTTCCACATCACCCAATCATAGATTACATTGTGACTATGAATTACTAAATTTCATATCTCCTCAGGAACATATCACTGTATGGCCTCCTGTGGAGAACTTCAGCCTTTGGTCACAGTGCTAAGAGCTCTTGGTTTCACAGCCCCACAAGCCCTCTTTAAAGAAATCATAATTTAATGATGTTATTTGGAGATGGTGAAATGGGAATTGGGCTTAGCTGAATGGAGTGGATCATGAGGATGTGACCCTGAAGACTCTATCTGGTCCCTAACTCTTACTCCCTGTTTTTTCTGTTTCTGCTTCCTGGTAGCCATGAGGTGAATGGCTTTCCTCCACCATGTCCATCCACCATGATGTTTCTGCCTCATCACAGGCCTAGAATGAGCCAAAATAGACCTTTACTCTTTTAAGTGGTTTTTTATTAGGTATCCTGCCACAGTGTCACAAGCTAACACAGAAATGAAACACAGAGAAAAAACAAAATAAAACAGAACATCCAGGGCCGGGGATTTAGCTCAGTGGTATCGCCGCCTGTCTCACAAGCACAAGGTCCTGAGTTCAATCCCTGGTACCAAAAAACAACAACAACAACAAAAAACCCCGAACATCCAAAAGAGTTGGGGTAACATCTGTCTCAATGTCACCGTTTGAAGAAAAGAAAACCTTACAGAGTCACCCTTTTGTATATAGTTCAAGCTCACAGCATCCTATGGTAACTCATTCTTGTCTTCCTCTCTAGCTCTAGGCACTTTTCCCACTGTCAGACTCCCTCCTCATTACCTCTCAGACCCCACACTCCCTGAGTAGACCGTGCTATTGCACACCATCCAGCCTAGACTGATTCTGTTTGGCCTCCGTCCTCATTTAATCTCCTTGGACCATGTACATCCAAAAACATTGTAACATCCTTTTCCTGTAAGAGAATCAACCGCTCATGTCATTCCACACCATTCTATTTTATATACAGTATGATGTGTACTATATAATATATACATATATGTATATTATATACACATACACATATTTATACATACACAACTATCTCTGAGTGTTCTATCTTAAAATTAGGAGATTTCATTAAAATACCTACGTTTCTGGCTTCAATTTGAAAGAAGAAGAACTAAAACCTGGACCACAATTCTGCCACCGGACAAATGATTGGCGCTCTATGAAGGGCTGCCTCTTTAAAGGGGATTTATGCTCTGTTTAGGTCAATCCTCTTTATTCCTGATCCCTCACACCCAGCCCCCTTCATTCATTTGAGCCACCTGCCTGCACTCTGCAGATGTTGAGGGTTTTTTTTTTTTTACTACTGTTGTTTTTGTCTTTAAAATTCCTTTCAGAGGCCTATATCAATACAGCATTGGGAGTATATAAGTTCAAGAACAAGCTATTTAACTGTTTGATAATAACTGATGGTATCTGCTTGATAATATTTGTTTGCATTTGTGCCAGATTTTGTTCATACCATTTTGTCCTGGAAGTTAATGGGGAAGAGACGTACGCAGATGTAGAAACACAGTTGTCAATGATTGTTTTTGAAGTGGGCTGGGCTTTCACGGAAGGTTGGGGAATCCCACACTTTCACTGGGCCACAGAATGGCTCCACACAGGGAAGGTTCCAGGTCATGACTCACTGGTTCTCCAAGGATCACAGCTGCGTGAGCTGTGGGGTGTACCCTGCTCACTCTGCACTAGACCTGAATATCAGCCAGAAAGGATGAAGGAGAAGAGGGCATGGATTTGAGAGCATCTCTTAAAATACTGTGGTGTAAAATACACAACAGAAAATTTACCCATAATGCTAATCAAGGAGATGGGGAGTGGCGAAGGGCAGGAAAGGAGATTTAATCAGCATAGCCATCCTGGGAACATAAAGCAAAGAAATAGGTTCAAAATCTATCTTTGAATGGCTGACAGAAGCTTTGGGGTTTTAGGAAAAAGGGGAACAAAGACAAGGGTAGAGTGTTTCTACAGCTGGCAGCATGGGTAATCCTTATCAAGTTGTGGTCTGGTTGTTCAGTATCTCAGGCTGGTTCTGTGAGTCCTGGGAGAGTTATCATCACTTGAGGGAACAATTTGGTTCCCATCATGAAATGATGGTTCCTGCTTAGAGGCGGCAGCTTTAGTTCCTGGCAAGGGATAAATGTTTCTGGCTGGAAGGTGACCTCACCTTGAGGATGGTCTGGGATGCTCTACTTTTCTTGGAATTCAAGCTGAATACAGGTTTAGGACAATGACTAGAGACTTTTAGGCATTATACCAGGGTATCTGGAACTGTATGATGTACAACCTGGCAATTAGATGTCCAGAGAAAATGCTAAAAATTAGTAACTCTTACCTTGGTATCCTCAGTCTTGAAGGGAGAGGCAATAAGCTAGGCAAATTTAAGGCTAATAAACTTTTCATTATGAATACCTCATTAAGTGATTAACAATCACAATCTGCAGAGCTAAGCAGGGATCTGACCCAAAGTTTTAAGGTAATAAAAGAAAAATACAAAATAAAGGTTAAAATGCCACGTTTCCTCCTACTTTTAGTTACTCACTGGGCATGTGTAGGTTTAGTCTCTAAGTCCTTGTTATAGTTCTGCAAGTTTGATGATTTTAGAGATCTCATATAAGTGCAATGATAGAGCATCCGTCTTTTAACTGACTTATTTCACTTAGCCTAATGTTCTCAAGGTTCATCCATATGGCAGTAGGCATCAGAATTTCCTAGTTCATGGGAAAATTAATGGGAAGTTAAAGGCAGGCAATATTCCATCCAAACACGTCTCATGCCCCAGTTCTTACTACTAGTCACAGTTACATCCTGAACGAATTTATATGGGAAGTGGGAGGGATCCTCCACTGATTAAATATTTTACCTACAAAAGCAGAAAGACAGGCTACAGACAACATCTTCTTTCTATTTAATCAATGAACCTCAGAGATCAGTGTATGTCAAGCACATTTAAAATGAGGGGCCTTGATACACAAATGAAGTGCCTTGTATTTAACAGTGGAGACTAGAGAGGAGCAGCCACCCCCTCACCACCAAAGCCAAAGAATTCCAACACAGTATCTTTTCCATGTTGGTGCTCCAAACTGATTTATCACAAGCCTTAGAATGAGCTTCTATTTAAAGGCAGGAGAAACACATTAGCTTTCTAGGTGCTCCGATATATCTCGATGGAGGGCATCAAAAGCACTAGAAGTAGGAAGTGAGAAATTCTTCATGTAAGGGTCTAGTTCATTGCAAAAGCTCACTCATCTGCAATCCTCTCTTTCCATGAAGGACCGTGGACAGTTCAATGCATGTTAGAAACCAGATGGCAGACTTGGGACAGGAGAACTAGTAAGTCATTTATTTGATAAAACAAACCAACAACAAACAAACAAAAAACCCAGCCAGCCAATAGAGACATGTCGACTGGCCTGGAGATGAGTTTCATCCAGGGAAGTAAAGCAAGAGCATTCTTTTACAGAAGGGCAGAGAAGGGGCTGGGAATCTGTTTGTAAGGAGAGACCCCAGTCTACTTAGAAGCAGCAAGAGGTTGCCTGTGTGAGGCATCTGCTGGAGAAAACTCTGCCACAACCCAGAGAACCTCAGGTCCAGGGAATGAACAAGAGAACAAACCCAGGTCCTGGGCCAGTTCTCTGTTCAGACTGAGATCCAGGCCACCAATATTAGATAGAGATTTGACTGTCCAACCTAAAACTTACCCATACCCTTTCTGCTTGGACAAATTCTACCAATCTTTTATGTGCAGATCAAACTCCAAATACCTGCAATCATTGCAGGTTACAGCAACTTCTCCTTTCTTTCTGCTCCCACAGCAGGAGGTATCTGCACCCTTACTTGGGGGCAGGTAGAAACTCTTGTTCTCTATTTGAACTCACTGCCCATCTCCTGTCTTTCCATTTAGGATGTCAGCAGGTCATTCCAAACACTTAGCACACTGCTAAACAATGATAACCAGTCATCAGAGAGTCAATGACTTATAATCACTTGCTAACACTAATGTCATTTCCTTTACTGAAGTGAAAAAAAAAAATCCACTGATCTGTTTATAGAGGGGCTCATGATAAAACATAAAACACTTTGTTCTTTGAAGTTTTCATTGTATTTTTATTTTTTATTTTTTTTAATTTTTGGTACCAGGGATCAAACTCAGGACCTTGTGCTTGCGAGGAAGGCACCGGAACCACTGAGCTAAATCCCCAGCCCTTCATTGTATTTTCCAATGAAATGATAAGACAAAAAGAGCCGGGGATGTAGTTTGGTGTGAAGGCCCTGGGTTCATCCCCCAGTACTGCCAAAAAACAAAACCCTTTTCTCCAAATTAATAAGGCTGAATCTCTAAAACTGTATGCTGAATTGAAGAAGCCGGATATAAAAGAACACAAGCTGAAAAATTCTACTGATGTGTAGTTCTAGAACAGGAGAATCTATAGCAAAGGAAAGCAGATTGGTGTTGCCCAGAGTTGGGCACGGGGAGGGGGGTGTGCACTGACTGCATATGAGCACAAGGGAACTCTCTGGAGTGATGGAATGTCCTACACCTTGATGCATGGGGTTGGTTACAAGGTTGTACAGATTTGTCCAAACTCACCAAATGATAACTTAAAATGGATACCTCTTAAGTTAGAGCTCAATAAAGTCTACTTATAAAAACAACTATGTAGAGAGATCTAACAATAAAGGTAATTGTGTGAATAAGGGAGGATGGAAAGAGAATTGGGGAACAGTGGAAATGAGGCTGGCCATAAATTGGTAGAACTCAGTGATTACACCATTCAGTTTTATATGTATTCAAATCTTCCCAGCATGAAGTTAAAAAAAGAGCTTGGTGATTCTCTTTTAAAATGATCCTCAAAAATCATATCTAATTCCAAGATAATTACCATTTCCTCCCAAATTACTAAGGGGTTCGTGGGCTGGAAAGCCCAATTTCCCCAGGCCCTCTCAGTGTACATGGGTGTGGCAGCTCCCTGGACACCTGCTTCACTTCTCATTGATGGAAGCTGGAGAACACCACCCAGCCCCCATGGTATGACTGCTTGTGACCTATTCTGGGGATGCTACCAGCTTCCTGGGCCCCTCTCCACACTCACCAGGCGGACCCTGGCCCCCAGGTAGGCCAGGAGGTCCTGGAAGGTAGGCATTTGAGGCCAGCACCTTGTTGCTAGTGATGTACTTGCCCAGTTCAGCAGCATTGTTGGGGAGCAAGGCAATCTGCAAAGAAAAGGGGGAGACTTTGGTCAGAAAGCAATGGCCCCACTGCAAGGGAGACTGTCTACAAAGGCTCCAAGGGATTTTCATGATTTTTCTTTTTAACTATAGCTAGTTAGAGTGCTTTCCATCTTTAGATCTGAGCTTTTGTAATCCACCTACTACCAGAAAATGTGTCTGGTGGGATTTGATACCAGCACAGAACACTAAAGTAACAATTCTGCCAGCTTCTGCCTCTGAGACTCTAATCAACTCTGAATTATAACTTTGGGGAAGGAGAAATGTACAGTGGAATACTGATGTGAACAAGCAGAGTTTCCTTTACTTCTCCCCTTCCCAGGAAAGTCAGCACTTGTCACTTCTCACTTCCTTCCTCAGATTCCCTCTTCCTGCTGAGACTACCTCCTCCCAGTCATATTCCAATGCAATATAGTGAGGCACACTCCGTGAGGCTACATGAAAAACCCCAGGATGTCAGGGCCTAACTTCAAGATGGAAGAACTCCTTATCAGGGATGAGGGCAACTGGCTTGATAGTAATAAGCAGGGAGAGGAAGCAAAGGTTGATCACAAGATCTCAAATCTCCCCGGTCCAGGGCTCAGGGGATCACATGGGAGACTAGGATACAGCTACTGAACTTCAGCCATGCTGTACCATGAGTGAATACAAGGAAACTTGAAAAGGTCTGCTGTCAGGGAAATTCTCATTAGGCTTCAGAAGGTCCTCATCTCCTGCAAAGTTTCTGTTTTGAGCTCGGAGGATTGGCTCTGATTGTTTGCAGCATTCCCATGCCAAAGCACAGCTCTGATGAAGACTTGTGGCCAAGACTCCACTCCCTTGCTGGGTAGTGGCTAGGTGTGGGACCTTCTTGATACAGCTTGAAAGCTGATGATTTTTTTAGTCACAAAGGCAGATGTTCTTGCCAGAAGAAATCCAACGTTATATAAAAAGAGTATCATGACAGTATGTGGTTTCTCCTTAGGCATCTACCTTTACCTGATACATCTTAGGGAGGATGAATTCTTCTGGTTCCTTTATAAGGTGACTACCCTAATCCCATACCCCATTAGCCCCTTTATCAAGCACATGAAATGTTATCATATAAAACCATGGAGTGTCTGGCTGTCCTGCAGTTAAGAGGGCCTATTTCCATTTCAGCTGCCCTATCTGTCCTATTTAGGCCAGGGATGAGCCCTAGGCAGAAACTTCCTCAAGAGGGTTTGTGCCTTCCTATTTGAAGTTCCAACTAAATCCAGGCTGCTAAGATCCATTCAACCCAGGGTATAAGGATACTCTGGGAGTGGGAAGCTCTAGGAATCTTCAACTCTGTCCTCCTCAGGGACTATCCGCAGGACACTTTTTGTGGTACTGGGGATTGAATCCAGGCCCATCCTACTGAGTTATACTCCCAGACCTCCTCTTTAAAATTTTTAATTTTGAGGCGGGGGCTTGCTAAGTTGTCCAGGCTAGGCTTGAACTTGTCATCCTCCTGTCTCAGTCTCCCAGAGTTCTGGGAAGGGTACTAAAATCTTTTGCAAGGCAAAAGCCTTGCAGGGTTGAGAGATTCCCAACCACAGTTGTCTTCTAGATAGGAGATTGTTCTCCTCACTTGAAGATCTAGTGTTCCCTGAAAGACAAGGAATGGCAGGCACCTGCCAGAGATGTCACTCATTCAACTACCCTTTAATCATTTCTCAGAACCCAGTAGAGGTGACTAAGAATTAGCATCTGGTGCAATTTGAAAGCCAACTTTGTACAATTTCAGGTCAGGGATCACAGTTCAGACACCATTATGACACAGCTGTGGTCTGGGATTATTTAAAATGGTGCTGGCAATACACTGTCACAGCAGTAGATCACTGCAACCTGGAAGTGGGTATCTGGAGTCCTGGAGTGAATCAGTGAGGGAAACATAAGTGAATCTTCCAACTACAGGCCAGTAGGTCAACACTGGCAGCTGAAGAATGGTCCAGTTTTATTATCTGCTTCCAGCTGAAAAACTGAAATGTGGATCCCATCTGTGGGCTCTGGCAGACTTGCATTAAAATCTCAGCCCTGCTACTTTCTACTTGTGGCATCTGGGTCCCCTTTCTGTAAGACAGGGACTATAACATCCATCTACAAGGGCTGCCACAAGGTTTTAAACTGGTGATATCCTTAATGTGCCTGGGCCAGTGTCCAGCCATTGTCGTAGACAGAGCAGCACTGGTCTGCCCGGGCTTGCTTCTGGCTCTGTTCCTAAGTAGCTGTGTGACTTCAGGTGAGTCCTCTTCCACTTCCAGATTTTCCACTTCATGTCTATCCATCAAGAAATTTGGACCACATGACCATATCTTATACAGTACTCAACAATTTTGCAAGCAGGGCTGGGGATGAGAACTGCAGGTGGCAGGGTTCTGCAGCTGCCCCCCAGGGTCATTCTCGCTGCGTTTGCTCTCTTGTTGAAGTTATGAGGTAGCCAGTAAATGTTGACCTCAGTGTCCCAACTGACCCATGCTGGGGAAGCACACTGGGCTCCCTTGAGCTCCCATATCAGGCTAAGTGGGGTGAGTAGAAAGTAAAAGCCTATAGGATGCCAGGTGTGTGTGACAGGAAGGCTGTAGTAATGCAGCCTGAGTCTCCATTTCTCTTGAGTTCAAGTAAGTGAATTAAGAGTATTGTTATCTCATATTAGCTTTGTAATTAATGGCACATGTAGCTTACAATGCTGTAGACATGAATCAGTGAGATGCTGCCTGTAAACCACTTTGGAAAGAGTGCTAATGATTAATGTTAATTATTTATTTGGTAAGCATTTATAGAGCTCTTTCTGGGTGACAAGCATTTCTCTAGGTCCTTTATAAATATTAATTTGGTCATTATGAATACCCTAGGTGGCAGGTATCATCATAATTACCTATTTTTCATAGGACTGAGGTACAAAGAGGTATTCTTACCTAGGGTCACACAGTTAGCATGTGGTCAGGCAGGAATTTAACTCTAGCCAATCTGCTTCCAGATTCTGTGCTTTCAATCATTACCCCAAGCAGCATCTCTTAATATAACAATACTTGGGGAAAATGATCCACAGTCACTTTAGGATGAATTAGTCTTCCCAACAATTCTGAGAAGACTCATTTACAGAGTAGGTAGACCAAGGCAGCAGAGGAAGCCACAAGCTACTAAGAACCATCTACCTGCCTGGCATCAAAGGTAGCACTAGAGTTGAGCAAGTGCAGACAGCAGGCCACAAATCTGTTTTAATGAGACTGCACCGACCTCCAACCTCTCATGCCTGTCTAACCCTCCATCCGGCCATTGTCCATTGACTTATACTGTTGATTTGGTTTCCCATTAGACCATAAGTGTACTTGAGGCAAGAATTTATTCCATTCTGTTTTCTGTTTCCTCATTTCCCAGTTCACTGCAGGGCATAGCTGGTGCTCAACAAACACTCCCCGAATCATATTCATTCTGACTACTGACTACTCACCATGGAGAGAATTGCTGGTCTAAGAGTGAAGAGACTCCTGGCTCCCCAGGCAGCCACCAAAGGAGGGTGAACATACCAACATTTGGTCAGCCTAGAACCTACCAAATCCAGGGACTCTGAAGCCACCCACTCTCAACCTGTGCTGCAGGGACACAAGTGACTTTAAAAAAAGATTCAATAGGCTCCTTGGTTCTTATTTTAGTTCAGTGCTCCAACAAGACTAAGACTCATTTAAAGTTAAATTACGGATACTTTATCCCCAAGTTCACCTGTTTTCTTTCAATATAACAGAAAAAAATGGAAGAGGAAGATGCACTGGGTTCTGCATTCCATCTAAAAAACTTTTTATTGGAAAATAAAGCCTAGAATCTGGAAACCTCAACAAACAAACAAATATACCTCAGTAAATTATCAGAAATCAAGCGCCCCTTTAATGAATGCTCAAGTTAACAAATACACCTTTGCCAGCCACTCCAGGCCCCCTTTTCCCATGCCCCGTCCCAGTTTCCTCCCTTCCCCCCAAAAGTAACCACTATCCTGATTTATATTACTTCTTTTTAAAAAAAAATAATTTACCATCGAACAGTACACACCTAGACACTACAGTTTAGCCTTTCTCATCTGAAAATAATACATCTTTTAAGTTCCTTGTTTCTGCAGATTCCTACTTCACCTGTCTTTTCTTTATAATTTATCCCTTGAAGAACCCAGGGCATTTGAAGGGGAGTGTTTCCCACAGTTGGAATTCTGCTGACTGTACACTCACGGTGGCATTCAGCAAGTTCACACACCGTTTAATACTGTGGGGTTGGCCACTGTCCAGGACACCCGGTACTTACTTCTTGGCCAATGTTTATTTGGGCAGATGTCCTACGTTTTTTGGGGAACAGAACAGATGGCACTGCCAGCACCAAACTGATGTTAAAACCAACTGATGATCCAAGCACCAGCACAGAAGAAGTAGGAAGAGCCGGTTTTAAGTTTAGCCTCTTGGAAAGTTACTTTACCTCCCAGAGAGTTAGAGAGTATGAGCATCTTTCTTATAGGGTTGTGGTAACAAGTAAATGAGATTCTGGGGCTGGGATTTTAGCTCAGTGGCACCACACCTGCCTCACAAGCACAAGGTCCTGAGTTCAATCCTCAATACCAAAAAAAAAAAAAAAAAGAGATTCTGGATATAAAACTTCTTTGTAAACTACAGAATGCAACACATTCCAACATGAATTACTCCTCATAATGTTTCATGAATGTCAGTATCAACTGAGAATTGTCATGGTGCATGTGTAGGGAGAATTTTGTGTAAGACAGAGCAATTCTAGTCCAACCCAACTGTTTGAGCATTACTGGAGCACTAATAGGACCTCGGGAATTTTTATATAGATCTACACCAAGCTTTTTAAGGGTGACAGATGTCTTGATACAAGCTTTTGAACTCCTTCTTTTTTTTTTTTTTTGGTACCAGGGATCAAACTCAGGTCCTTGCGTTTTCGAGGCAAGTGGCGGAACCACTGAGCTAAATCCCCAGGCCCTGAACATCTTTTTAATATTTCTTCTTTGTTGGATCATGAAATTTTACACAGAGGTTAAGGGAAAGCCAAACTTAGCAGGTGAATTTCTGAATAACTTGTGACATTTAACTCCACTGTTCCTAAAGATCACTCCAACTACAGTGAACTTCCCCTCAGCTTATGGATTATTTCCAGCAAAGGAAAGTGAGGGTAACTTAGCATTATGCCTTGAGACATTATCATCTGCCTTCTCTAAGCCTTGATCCTTTAGACTACAAAATGGAAACTTAATTTTCCCACGCATCCTCTTTTGGGTTCACTCAATAAATAACAGCATCAATTCAATTCAAGCTTAACCTGGAGATCTATATGTGGGATATATTTATTTATACCTCCCTGTGTTTTTACTGGCGTATAACACAAAGTATTCTGCCTGGTCTCCCAATCAGATCACAAGCTATTTAGCGCCATATCCATATTTTACTCATGTTTATACAATACATACATATCTGCCTCTACTAAAATTGATCGTGTCTTCACGAACAAAGCACGAAAGGCCTGCAAAGACACTTTTCTTCTCAGCCTGTTGATCCGCTTGTTTAACAGGTAGCTGTGGTTCTCATTAGGGGCCAGCAGCAAGTTTGTTGGATATGGGAAAGAGATTCTGTCTGTTTACCCTTTTGCCCTTTAGAAGAACTGGTCACCAAAGTTAAACAGATTATATACACCTCTTTGATCTACTAAGAGACTTGAGTTGAAGCAATTAAATAAACAAACCAGCAAGTTTATGTTTCATCAGTGTAAGAGCAATTCCAGAGTTGCTGACAAGCTAACAAACGGACTGACCTCAGGTATATAAAGCCCAGCTCTCTAGATCCAACACAGTCATTAAAGAAATCAGGTCACCAGATCCATCACAGGATCCTGACTCACAGCACAGTGATGTGACTAAAGGCCTGGTACCCCATCAGGCACCCAGAGAGCCTTTCATAGAGCAAGTCAGTCCTCACCCTTGGTGACACAAGGTACCCACATGGCTGCCTCCCTACGTGCACATAGCCCAAAGTTCAGATTGTAATTTTTTAATGTGAAAAATAAAGCCACTGCAGAAGGTCCTAAGTCTACAGAAGTTTAAAGAGTGAATGCTTTCTATTGATAGAACACAGATAAAATAAAATCACATAGGCCTACCCTGGGTTCCACATGGCTGTATATTCATTTCACAAGAAACTGCAGTAGTCATACCATTACCTTCTCTATGTGCCGCTTACCAGGGGCTATTTTGATAATCACTTCCTCAATTCTTTTCCATCACTGTATTTGGTTGCCCTTCAGATGGCCTGCTCAGGAGCGGGAAAGCACCCTGAGTCCAGACCCAGTTGTCATCAACCACAGTGAATGGTCAACGCAGATTATTTATTTTTATATTGACCTTAGACTTCCTGCACTTCATTCAGCCAAGTTCTCCTTTACCCATCTCTGTTCCCACATGCTTGGCAATACCTTCTGCTTCAGCTGCAGCACCGTCTGCTTCATCTGGTGGAATTCCTTGCATGTGGCACAGCAAGTGCCGGCTTTCCCCATGTTCTCAGCCTTCTCCTCATGCCCTGGGAAAGGAGAAGGGTCAGTTCTGTCTAGAGGCCTTGAGGAAACGCAGACTCAGACCAAATGCATCAGGCAGGGTTGTCCTGGGGCAGGGAGGAATATGGGGAGGGATTAGATGTTAAGGATGTTATACTTCTCAGGCCCCTGCCAGCATGCCCGGGGTCAGGGAAGAGAGGCAGGAGGTGAGAGGCTCCAGTTTCTCTCTGGGCTCAGCTGGTCCTATTTAGGCATCCCAAATGTGTAAAAGTGTGACCAACATCCCTTTTGATCAGTGCCTTTCATGTATGGAAACAAGAAACATGGTGCTTTTATCAGTGCCTTTGCAGAAGGCAGGCTCTATAAACCTGACATTATTTAGGGTGCCCTCAAAAGGCCAATGTTCATTTCTACAAATATCCCCAAGCTCAGGCAATGGGACTCACGAAGCTGATTTCATCGCTTCTGACCATCTCTTTCTCAATGGAGAGCACACCTGGGCTGTATGGGGCCAAGAAGTAGAGATAGGGTTAGGGCCAGAAGACAGAAGTGTTAAGACAAGCATGAGGAGGAAGCACAGAGAGGGTTGGAAGGTGACATTACTCAACAGTCCCCATTTAACTGGAATGGATGAATGACCAGGCTGGAACAGATGGATGTCATTCAACTGTCCTTAGGTACAACAAATCTAGTGGACCTGGAGCCCGTGTCACCTTTCCATGCAGGAATCCAACATTCCCTATAGTCAGCACAGCCAAAGTTAGCTAAGGTTTCAGTTCGTCACCACGAAATACACAACTGATACAATCGCATCTATGTATCTCATCACCTACCTATATCTCACCCATCCATCTTTCCAAACTTTTTGTCCATCCATACATCTTCCCTTCCCTTCCTCCTATCCATCTATAGGGGACCTACTATTAGGCCTTGTGAGAAGTGCTCCAAATATAACATACATGAAGATACCACTCTTCACAATTTACAACTGAACTTTCTCTTAAGAAGCTAGCCATGGTGGCAGAGCTGAGTCACAATGCACAAGAGCTAGCCCATTTTTGCCTTTCTACTTTTGCATACCCGGTGGTATTTCTTAAGTTGTTGTGATTAAGCACAGAATAGGATAAATCTTAACCAAGTTCTAGGTGCTATTTCAATTGAATGATAGAATGTTAGAACTGACAAACCTTTAGTTCCATGTCTATTGTTGATAAGGAAAGTAAGAACAAGAGAAGGAAATACACTTGTTTTGGGTCTCCCAGAATGCTATGTGCAGACGAGGCATTTTCGGGGCCCAGTTGGCTCTTGAGAGGATAGGTGGTGTGAAACGAGCCTGCTATCAGAAGTTCTGTGGAGAACTCAGAGCTGCCTGCAGACTTCACGGAAGATGCTCTGCTGAGCCATCCTTTGCATGGAAAGGTCTTTACTATTTTTGTCCCTTTGTAGAATTATCAGAAGATGGAGAATCAAGATTAATCTTTTCCAAAAGAGTTGAAGATCCCACTGACATTGAAGTGCACAGCAGGACAGGAAGCAGTATGGGTGCTGGTAGATTCAGATGATCATGATTTGAATCTCAGCACTGTCACTTAGGTTGGACAGCACTATCACTATAGGATGGAAAAGGCATCTGTTCCTTCAATGGTAAAATGATAATAGCACCTGTCACTGGAATTGCTGGAAGGAGTCAATGAAGAAGGGAATGGAATTAGTATGAGGAAATGAGGAAAGGAAACAAAGTCTTTGTAAACAGGGAGGGATGGAGGGGTTGAAGGGAGGGCAGGGGAAGGGGGAAGAAATAAGAACCAAGAGAGTATGTAAAGGTGCAAATTTCCAATGATGAATGCCATTATATTGTATACCTAAAATGTACCAATAAAAGGATATACAAAAAAAAAGAAATAAGACATGTAGGTCGCAGAACAATGCCCTGCCCATGGCAAGTACTCCACACATGATACTCACTGTTGTTATTTATTGTTACTCTTTCTCTACACAATTAGAGATGGTGGTAAGATACCTGATATTATCCTGTGATAATGAAAGCCAGGGGCTTTCAGAGAGTTTGAGGATAAATAAGGACTCACACTGTGTATGTATAGACCTTGAACACACTACTCACTCTGAAGTGGGCATCACCTAATTGCCTTGGAGTTGCAACCTATCTACACTAATGTCAATATAGGGCTAAAAGTAATCTCATGCACCCTATACTAATAATTCATTTACACACCTAGGTTGATGTCTCTTCTTGCATATTTTCAGTCCTCTTGATGTGGCCATGTGTGTTTGGGAAAGGTCTGGTGAAGTATCACCCAATTTTGTTCCAATAAGGTGCAATATCATTAACTAGCCACATGGGGGCACGGAGCTCTAACTTTTACTTAAATTGAGTGGCTTATAAAGATTATTACAAATTGAACACCTTAGATATCATGATAGCAGTAGCTAATAATCTTAGAAAAACCAAAGAATGTTCCTAAGGTATTTCAATTAGGCGGTGTCATAAGTGAACAAAACATGTTTGTTTTCAAAAGCTGAATTGCAGATTCACACTCTGGTGCTGGTGCTCTCAGCCCTGGAGCCACATTGTGTGTGTGTGCGTGCGTGTGTGTGTGTGTGTGTGTGTGTGCGCGCGCACGCACACGTGTGTACTTCACCCCGCTCACCTGGGGGTGGCATCGAGGCAACAGTACCAGCGTGTGTTAACAGTCCCCAGGTGATTTCAAGGTTAAGAACCACTAATCTATAGATTAGTGGAGCTTGACAGTTATATGAAACACCTGGCTGTTTCTGACACTTTGAAGTATAGTTAAGTGACACTTGGGATTATGGTCATGTTATCAGAAAATAAACAAAAGTTGAAAAATAAAGACTAGTAAGCTAATGACTACGGAGCCACATTTCCTTACTTTGTCTCCCCAGCAGTACTACAGACTCCCTAGGGTGACCAGACTGGCTCCAGCTCCATGCATTCAAAGGGGGGAAAAATCATGAATGCCTATTAACCATGTCTGTGGACTGTAACCTCTCAGTCACCAGAGGCCATCCCACCCTTGTCTATTCCAGGCCTTTTGTGGGTTTTAAAATCCTCTATCTACAATGTTAGAGATGTTGGACAAGGCAAAGTTTTAAAAACATGGAAGAGGGAGAGTTAATTTTAGATTACGTGTGTTTATACTGAATCATTATATCCTCATAAAAAATGACCGTGATGAAACACTGGGCTTATTAATTAGTCAAAAGCAGACAGAACTGCTTAGCTTTCTCTGATGTTCCAGAAGGCAGAGCTGGTTTTGCCTCTCACATTCCCTATTACTAAGTTGAATGTTCAGATATGTACCTATTCATGGTTTGGATACTGTTGGAAAGTTCTCTGCTCAGAAGGTGTTGCAGCTGGGCATGTTTGCAAGTTTCAGTACTCACTTAGATAAAGGACAAAAAAAAAGAGGACTGTATAGTGACAAAAGATTAAAATTCTCAGCACCCAAACTTCTTTGATAACACAATTTTGCCCAGGACATACTGGACAGGCACGAAACACCACACTAATGAGGACTAAAAATAGCACAAGATAAAAGTAAATACAAAAATCATCCTTTCCTCCTCCGAGCTAATGTTATATCTTTCCCTCAAAGGTTAAAACATACAGATACCCTTGTCTAAATCCAAAGAGCCTTTTCCAGGCCTAAGCGAGAGGCCTTGACAATTTGATACTTTGAAGCACAACCTTAGATACAATATAGGCATTCCTGAAAGATTAACAAAAAAACAGGATCCCCTGGAAATGCGTTTCTAAGGATCTACATTTGCCAATTTAGACCCTTTCCCATGTCTCCATCCCCTTGTAAAAATCCCAATCGCTCTCCTGACTGTGCGATTCCTCTTGGAAATTTGCTTGCTGTCCTGCTTGACAGAGTACTCAGTGATCTAAATAAACTCTTGTCTTTCCTGTATTCCTTGTCTATTGGTAAACTCTCTCTCCACCTGTGTCACTGGCCCACTATACATTGTCTGGCATAGCAGACTTCACAGGGAATCAGAAGGTTGGCAATCAATCCTAAGGTTAAGAAACTAATACATAAGATCACACCAAGTTTCAAAAAAAGATTTCAGAGGGCAAAAGGGTCTTTAGAGCTCATGTAATTTAATCCTTTTGTTAAAAAGGGTTCCAAAGAAGAGGAATGAGACCATATACATTGATGGTTATAAATGATAACTTATCCTTGTCATGTTATCAAGTTATTTTCCTGTTGTTGATTCCCTTTTTTTCCCTGTTCAATTACTTGCCTTGCCTGGTGAATTCATTCTGTTGGGGTTCATGGAGTTGTAGTCTTTATCTCTTTTTAGAATGTCCTTCAGAACATTTTGGAATGCTAGTTTGGTGGTCATGAATTTGTTCAGATGTTGTCATGGAAGTATCTCCCCCCCCTCATTAAGTTTATTGGTAAATTTTAGGTATAAAATACAGTTACATACATCATTGGGATCTTGTACCTTTACATGAGTATCTTGGTTCTTATTTTTTTCCCCTTCCCCTGCCCTCCCTTCACCCTTCCCTATTTGCAAAGACTTTGTTTCCATTTTTTTCCTTTTCTCATATTTTTTCTTTTCCCTTCTTTCCTTTCCCCTACCCCTCCCACTTCCTCTGCTCCTTTAGACCTTTACTTCCTATTACACAATATCAATTATACATTTTTAAAATGACAATACCAAGATCTAGGAGACATTACCACAGATTTTACAGAATTTAAAAGGGTATAGAAAGCATATTACAAAAGTCTTTTTTGAAATAAATTTGACAACTTCTAAGAAGTACCTTGGGAGACAAATTAATGACACTAACTCTGGAGGAAATATAAAATTTGAATAGCACCTATTACAGAAAGTATATTCCTAGCTTGAAAACCTACCTATATGACAAGAGGCTCATATACATTTTAACTGATAAATTATATCAAACATTTAAAGCAGAAAAAAAGGAACACTTCTTCCCTCATTTTAGGAAATCAACATTATGCTAATCCTAAAACTGGATAAAGATAATAGAAGAAAAAAGTATGAACATAGAAATTTGTTTAACAAAACAAACTATTAGAAGTCAGATCTGGCAATATGTAGAAAGTGGTTTTATTATAGGGATGGCAGTGTTGGTTCAGCATTGGAAGATCCACCCCCAAAGTCATCATTTTAACAGAGGAAAGGAAAAAGCCATATGATCCTGTCAGTAGTTGGAGAAAAAGTATTGGACTAAATTCTACAGCTGTTCATGGTAAAAGCTGACAGGAGACTAGAAGTAGTACAGAACCTTCTCAACAGATTAGAGACATGTACTCCATACTGTCATGGAAGTATCTTATTTCTCCATGTTTTTTTTTTTTTTTTGTACCAGGGATTGAATTCGGGACCTTGTGCTTGCGAGGCAGGTGGCAGAACCACTCAGCTAAATCCCTGGCCCTCTCCATCATTTTTGAAAGATAGTCTTGTGGAGTACATCAAACTGGGTTGAAGACTGTTTTCTTTTAGGGCTTGAAATACTTCAACCTCTTCTTGACTTTAAGTTTTGTCTCAAGAAGTGTGCTGTAATTCTTTTCTAACAGCTTTTAATATTCTGTTCTTGTGTCAAATTTTGGGAATCCTGACGTATGCCTTGGGGCAGTTTTTTTCGTTATTATTATTTTTAATTATAGGTAATTGGAGTTCTACATGCCTCACTTATCTGTCAAATTCTTTTTCCATGCTTGGGAAGTTTTCTGCCATTACTTCTGTGAACTGAATTTCTATGTCAGTTGTGCTATCTCCTCCTTTTTCATTGACTCTGATCAATTTTATGTTATTTTTTCTTTGCATCATCCAGCAAAGAATACAATGTGGGGGAATGGCTGAGAGAGAAGGCATTTTTAAGTGTAACATTACATAAGGTACCAAAAAAGATGCAAATATATATTCCTTATAATACTGCTGTCCAGATTTTTCACTGAATTCTCAGCCATAGAAGCCAAATTGGTCATCTTGACCTCTTGCACTCATTACAAACTCTCTGCAAAGTTTTAAAGAAGTACAGTGTGTTTCTCAGGGAACAAAGCAGGTGAGTGAGTTCTTCCTAATGACTGGACACATTACTCTTCACTAATTTCAAAGATGCAATGAGACCACCACACCCTTTCTCTTCCAGTTCTGCTGGGCCCACCCTTCTGATGTTGGGGACATGGGAGTGCCTTCCACAAGCTAGACCTTGTCATTGCACCCTGACTTGGAGCCATTGCTAGGGTAACACATGCCAGGGAGATTGTATGAGGCTACTGTTCTGGGAATTGAAGAGGAATGTGGTCAAGAAATAAAGAATTACTGCAGGAGGTGGAGGTCACCTGAGACCCAGAACAAGCAAACTTGAGCATATAAAGTCTTAACATTAGTCTCTGGAATTCTATCTGGCCTCTCTAGTTGCTGCTAGTTATGGTCTGTTCTTGCTGTAGGCCATTCCACCCCATGAGGCAGGGGTTTCTTGTAGAAGGGGCCAGGTCCTATTATTTGTACATCTTCAGCATGGACTCCTGCTCTGATACTCAGCAGCAAGGGTTTGTTGTTGCTGTTCCTGATAGTTATGCTCTGGGTTGTGTTACTCTATTCTCCTTTTATACCCATAAAGGAGATTCCATCTACATATAAAGGTGAAGCAAAGATACAATGTATATACTTGCTTAGTTGGACACACCATGGCCTACCCTGTACAGGCAGCTGGAAATTCAATTCCAAAGTGGAAAATTAGAAACCTGCTTTCTTGTGACTAATTCTCAAGTAGGCTCATGAGTTAATAGATCAATGGCTAAGAAGCTGTGCCTAATTCTTCAATGAGATTCTTCCTTTCAATAAGGGACACAATCTAAGATGCATATCCTTGCTTCTCTCTCATCTTCTCTGCCTGAAGGACAGCCTGCTGTCATTTTAATTTTGAATTTAAAAACCCACAGTTTGTAAACATTATTTTTTCTCAGTCAGCTGAGCCTTGCTTTATGATCACTCTGGGTGGACAGGCTTCACATGCTTCAAACTTCCAATGTGCCCCCAAGCCCAGCCCACTGGTTCATTCACATGATCCCTAACTGCTCAGTCCTGAGTTGGCACTAAATAGCTATTCTGCATTTACTTCTAACACAAGGCAGCTTCCTCATGACTCAACCTAGCTGCCCTTTTGAATTTCATTTTGTAGCTTTCCGTTATTAAGCAGCTGGTCCCCAGCTGTGTGCTGCCTTCCACCCCTTTTGAACCTGGGGCTCCATCTCATGAGTGTCTGGACAATTGTGACTTTTCCATCTCTCTGTATTTTTTGGTTCATGTGATTTGTCCTAAGAAATGGCTGCCCCCTAAGATGGCTTGGGGCCACTACCCTCTCCTGACAGTATTCCAGTCACTTTCCCCTCCTGAGAAAAGTTAGACACCCTCTGATTCCCGAGCCTAGGAGATTACAGCAGCATTCTGGTCTTCAATGGGGGTGCAGGGGCCCATGGTCATATGGGACCTGGTTTCAGGCTAAGTGGCTAAGGACTTTTCTCCTCAGGGAACTTATCGGCCAGCCATGGTCAATAGAGACTATTTTGCTTCAAGGTTCATTCTGGCTGGAAAGCCCTTCATATTGGTCCATACAGGCCAAAATCCTAAATTTTGATGACCAGGCAGGCTCTTTATCTTGGCAGAGAGATCGGAGTTGGTTCTCAAGTGAATGTGGTGATGGTTTGCCTCCCAAGGCACTTATGGAACTTCCGACTTCAGTTTTTAGGGCTGTTTCTGCTTCTCTCCCTCATTATTTTTAAATCCAAACAACAACAACAAAAGTAACCCAGCACTGAGACTGAGACTCTGCACGAGGAACCAGTCATCTCAGCTGAAGCTAGATGACAGGATATAAATCAGTTTCTCAACTCTGTGTTGAAGGACCAGTGTTAGAAATTTTTTAGCTGATTGTGGACTACTACTTTCCCAAAATACAAAATGAATTGCTTAAAAAATTAGACATAAAACACAAGCACAAATTTTTGGATTTAAATAAAATTCCTGTCAAATTGGTATAAAAATTTCTAAATACTCTCAATTTCTGCTTTTATCCAATCATGAATCAGTGAAATAGTTCATAGACAGGACAGAACATACCTTGAGTAGTGCCGATGCAGAGAGGTGCCTTACATGGAAATGTTTCATATTTACATTTCAGCCCATTTTCTTTGACAGTACACAGTGCTTCTGGACTCTTCTCTACTCATTTTAGTTAGCTCTAAACAATAACCCAAATCTACCAATTTTGACAGGAACACACTGCCTTCTTCCATCCCACACCAGCTTAGAACCCTTGAAGTGATCAGGCATTGCTTCTATTCTGTACTTATGTCCTCTCACCATAGGGTCTACCTACCATAAGCACCACCCTTCCTGCCTGCCCTTTCTTGAAGTACCTTGTTGGGCTCCCAAGTACCTATAGATAACATACATGGTATATATAATGCATATTATAGAACATAGTATATATAACACTGAAATAATAATATAAAATTACTATATATAGTAGACTATTATACATAATCATATTTTATACATAACTATAGGTACTTGAAAACTTTATATAATATACAAAATATATTACATGTATAAATATATAACATATAATAAGCATTATGCTTATTCAACATAAAGCAAAACATTACAATTATAGATAAAATTATAGATGTGTATAATATACACACCTCTGAAATGAAAATAAACAATATGTAACATAAAATGTACACAATTGGGGGGTAGTTATGCTTGCCCCACTCACCAGTGTCATTGGGGTATTTGTCACCCCTGGTGCATGTCTTCCCGTCCTCTGTGAGGATGTAGCCCTCGCGGCACACACAGTGGAAGCTGCCCACGGTGTTGATGCAGATGTGCGCACACAGGGTCTGGTTGTGGGTGGCACACTCATCAATGTCTGGATTGAACCCAATGCAGAGAACACTCAGTTTCACAGAAGTCACTTCAAATCCAACAGTTGACATTAGGCTTGGCCCCTCTGCTAATATCTGCAAAGGATACTGTCAGATGTTGACCAGAGAAGCCTGGAATAAAGTCAGGTGCAGGAAATGTGAGCCATCGTGACATCAGCACCATGGCCATGGGGACTGTCATTAGAGACATGGTGGGAAGGTGTCCCTGGCTGTCCTGTGGCTCGCTGCAGGCTTTGCTACCCTTCAGAGAGCTCACCTGGAAAACAGCGATGATGCAGCCTGCCCTAAGCACTTCCCAGGGCTCCTCTGAGGAAAGAATGAAGTAACTGATGGCAAGACAATTTGAGAAGCAGACCTTAAATCTGACTTCTTGCAAGTAAGTAACCTAGTGTGCTGAGGCTTAAGTTCCCCTTATGGTGTAGGTTCCAAACACCATGATGCTGACTCAAAGGTCACTTAGGAATGGCTCCCGCCTAGTGAAGAGATACAACAGTACCTGGGAAAAGCTGCTTCTAATAAAAGAAAAATAGTCATGATGGACCTAAGGGAGAGAGGTTTCTCCAGGAAATCTGCCTCATCATGACCTAGACAGACCCCTCATGGGCTGTGGAAATGAGCCATAGGATCATGAAACAAGTCACCAGGAAAGTCCATATTAACTGTGAACATCACAGACTTGCTCCCCTGCTACATGGGGTGAAAACAAAAATGTTTCCCACCGTGGCAAAAGCGAGGCCGGAGTTCATTTCCTGTTCACTGCCTGAAAATGCTGAGTTGCAGTGAATAGGGACCAGGATACACAGCCCCAAACTGTGTACATGTGGTGGGCAGACTGAGCCGAGCCCTGAACCTTCTGATGCCAAATCCTTTCCAGCTGCTCCCTGAACAACCTGCCAAGGACTCAGCTCTAGCAGGCCGCAAGTATGCCAAGAAGAGTACGGTCATTTGGGTGTTCCCCTGGCAGTCCATACTATACCACCACAGCCTGGAGATCCCCTGGCTCGATCTTCCTGTACTCCCTCAGGCTGTCTCCAGGTGTCCCTGACCTAAACTGTATCGTGAAGCTGCCAGAGAGAGGGGACATTTTTCTTAACAGAATGCAAGTTCCGCTTCTCCTCAAACCTCCAAATGAAAAGAGTACAGCCTGCTAAGCTACCATAAATTCAGCCAAGAGCCCCTGTGCCTCAAACTGAGCCCATGCTCTCTGTAGGAGGAGCTGGAGATCCTGTTTCCATCATGTGACAGTCTCAATGTCTTTGTCAGTGTGAGGTGCCATTCTCAGATGCTGCTGGGGGGAACCAGGGGACTTATGGTTAGATTTTCTATTAAATGGCTTTCCCTGAGCCCCTCCTGGGGCAGAGCAGAAAGTCTGCTCATTGCAACTAGTTTATTTCTCACATGGCTCCATCTCAGTTCATTGTCCAGCAGAACTCATAGAGCACATGAATCATTAGACATTTGTGAAAATGCACATTCCCAGGCCCACCTTCAGAGCTAGTGAGGTCTGGAAGGAGGCTAGAATTTTTTAACTTTTTTTTGTTGAAGCAAGGACTCAACTTGCTTCTGATAAAGGTTAGCCACAGCTTGACCAGACTGAAACATTATTGCTGGGGACAAACCCTAAACCTGCCTGAGAAACTCAACAAGTGCACAGTGGGAAAGTCCAGGCACTGAGGGTAAAGGGGACAAGCTGATGGCCACTGATGGTGGCTGGGCTGTTTGCTCAGCTGCAGCCCAGGTGGCTGGCTTCAGTTGCCTCTGAATTGCTTCCAACCTGCCTGTAACACAGGGACCCTTCCGTTTTCCCAGTCATGTTCTGAGAATGCTTAGTCTCCTTTTTTTCTGTGTTTTTGCATTTCTGACCACTTATATTCTGTTTTACACTATTCTGGTTTACATTTGGCAACATTCCCCTTTTCCAGCTGTTGTATCTCACTTCCAGTTAGGCTTTAGCTGGTACCAGCTCCCTAATGAATTCCTTGGAGGTAGTTTGGTAACTATGGATGAAAGGCAGCGAGTAATCTGTTCCTAAGATAAGCCCAAACACAATTCCATGTAATAAATGTGAGGATGCAAAGGGAGGAATCAAAGAAGAGAGGCCCTCTTCTGAGCTACTCCTGCCCATGGAGAAAGTCCAACAAAGGACAGAGCTATCTGAACAAAGCTTGTCCTCAGGAGTTGAAAAATAACATGCATTGCCTACACACCCAGGCAGTATGGCTTCTCCCGCTTCCGGTGTCTTTCCCGGTCATATCGGTATCCTGGGTAACAAGTACACAGCACTCGGCCAAAGTTATCTGTGCACTGCTGTTCACAGGGAGCCTCGGCACAAACATCATAATCTGAAAAAGAAAAGTGTGAACGCACATCAACCAGAAGACGAGTTGGTTAACTCAGCCCTGGCCTAGAAGAGACTTTCTGAGCTGTACCCTGCTCAAGGTCAATATGAAGTGTGAACAGCTCCAGTCACGAGAGCATTAACTTTTTCAAGCCCTGTGGCAGCTTCTGTAAGTACTATAATGGTAACTTGATGTACAGTGTCTGGGTGGCTAAAAGCAAACACCACTAGTGCTTTTGTTCCTTAGGTCACCTCATCGTTCTGTCCTTTGGGCTTTGTCACTATCCAGAGAACAAAGGTGATTTAGCCTGCCAGGCTCTGCAGTATTCCAAGGGGGCCTGTTTTGTCTTTTTCACCATATGATATACATTTCCTGCCAGCAGAAGAAAGGTCATCCCTGATGATTAGCATTGGTGTCAAAATGTAAGGGCAAGGGTTAGAAGTCAGGTAGGCTCAGAGAAGTAGGAGGGAGGCTTTGAAATAGCAAGGTGAGAGTCAGCAGACAGATGGTGTTCCTTTGAGTAGTACTGTAGGTTTGCACACACAGGGTTGATCAGGAATGCTGAGAAGGGGTTGAGCAAATTAAAATGGCTAGAGCTCTCATGCTAGCCCAAAGATTGTACAAATTGGGGTGGGTGCTTTATTATTTGTAAAGAATTAGGGCATCTGATCTTCTCAGTTCCCATGAACTAATATTTAATGAGCCTCTGAAGGGACTTTGGCTCTAAGTCAATAGCTCAGGCTGAGCATTTGCTCCCAGACCAGACTCAGCAACTCATTAATCACTGGATTATCTCCCCAGATGCTGACAGATAAAATCTCCTTGGCCACAGAGGGAGCCTGACTCTGCTGTGCAGCATATGAAGGTTAAACAGGTGGGCTGTCAGGCACTGATAAAGACAAGGTTGCTATGACAGGCTCATGCCATTCTCACGATGACCTGGAAAACTGCCCTGGCTAACTAGTCCTTCCCATAAGCATGATTTCAGGCCTGCTTTGCCTCTATGGATCAACCTCACAAACTATCTCTAGTTAAATATGTTATCCTTAACTAAGAATCAGCTCTAGGCAACCAAATTCTGTGCTCCTTTTGCTCAAGAGCAAGGGCTCAGCATGGCCGGCAAAGAGCTGCCTTGTTCTTTGATCACCATCACTGAGGAGCAGCCAGGGAAAAGAGGGAAAAGGCAGAGAGGCTAAGTATCTGTGTTGACTATAGTGCCCAACAAGCCTTGCTTCCAGAAGCTGTGGTTCCCAGTCTCCCCTGCCATCCCTGCTTCCCTGGGCCTCCTTTTCTAACTCTTTTAGCTGATTGCTTTCACTTTCACCTCCACATCTCTAAATAGTCAGCTTGCATTGCTTTTCTGTTATTTTAAACACTTCTTATTGGTTTCCAGCTATGGGGAAGAGATGCACTTTAGCTTTTTCACTGTTTTCCATCCTCAACCCTCTAAGCACACCACACTTTCTATTCCCTCCATCTGGCCAATAATTTTGTTAAAATTTTAGTTCAATAAATCTTTAGCATTTGTATTACAATGACAACATAAAAGCTATTATTTACTGAGTGTAGAAGTATAGTCTAATTACTTATCCTTTCTTAAGAGAACTTTTGAACTTCCCTGGAGTTAAGAGTACTATCTTATGTATTTTGGGGGTGTCAGTTACTGAACTTTGTCTATCAGCTTCAAATTCGTCCAACCTAGCTCCCTGAGTTACTTTATGACATGAGACTTTGGCAACCATATTTCTTCTTGCCAGTTACCAGCCTACTATGTGCTGATGTAAGGGATGCACGGCCTTCCTATAATGTATGATGTCTCTAATGTATGTAGTCCATTCATAAGCTCTTTGAATTTAGTTTTACTGTAACTGATCTGGCTGGTATGTTCCAATGTCAGTTAAGACCTTGTTCTTGGGTTATCTAGTGTGTCCAGAGACATGTCCAAATCGTTGCCTGAGAAAGTAAGTCATCTGGAACTCAAGGGAAGGGAAAAAGGCTTAGTGTTTGGACATTCAGTGTGTAAGCATTTACCGAGTGTCTCCATTTTCAGTGTTAGACCCTTACTTTCAACTCTGACTGTCCTCCCTGAATCTCGAGATCCCCTGGTGTACCCCTCAGAGTCTTGTATCTTCTGCCTGGTTGTGGACGGGCAATATTCTGCCTATGCTCTATACAGGACAAGACCTGAGAGTATAACCTCTTCTTAGACTATTGGTCAATCCTTCTGTTTTGATACCATTTTCACCCCCATTTCTGTTTTTGTTTTGTTTTATTTTTTGATTTGGTATAAACTCAGCAGCTTCTTAGTTCTCCCTTGTATTGGCCAACAGCTTACCCTTCCCATTCTGCTAAGTATTTACCACTTCCTGATCTGTTTTCCAGCTTCCAAGGTCTTCCTTTCTTCTTGACTTTGTGGTATTATTCTTTTATTTTTTGATTTTTTTCCATTTTGAAGGGTTTCTGGAGGAAGTAAAGTTAATGGATTTATTCAGCCCTCCATTTTTTATGCTGTTTTTCTAAGGTGCTATCAACTTTCTGTCCACATAGCTTTTATCTTTTAAATGTATCTATTTTTTATGCTTTGTGTCCTATTTCTTCTGCCAGCATTCTAATGCAGATCTTCAGACATTCCCACCTACATAGGATTCTCATCCCAAGATATTGCACCTTTAAATGCATTCAACATTACACTTTCTGACTACCCTCCCTAATGCATAGTGCTGTGTATGTCACCTCTTGCTCCAAAAATTCTAAGCTCTATATAGGTTGAACATACCTAATCTGAAAATCTGAAATCCAAAACTCTTTGAGCATTTCAGATTTTCGGATTAGGGATGCTTAACTAGTAAACTCTACACAAATATTCCCAAATCCCCAAACAGCATAACATGTCAGGTCCCAAGCACTTTATATAAGGGCTACTGAACATATACTAATCAACACCTACCTCAATGGTCCATTCTTGCATTTGAGGTCTGGCATTATATTCCTTGAGATTTTTCTACCCGTAAAACTCTTCTATGAGGTCCTTTGACTCCAGAAACCCAAACTCTCTTCTTCATCCTTGATCAGAACCATCTTTTCTTACTTCTATGCTTTTGTCTATTATTTTCACCTCTAGTAATGTCCAATTAACACTTCTACCTGTGCTCTCACACTTCATAATTACTGGTATCCTACCTAGTTTTCAAGTACCACTGTAAATGTCCCCCACCCCACTGGAAGGCTTCCTCGATCTCCCCAGTAATGTCTGCTTGGTCCTCTCCACACTCACAGGACTTCATCCCCTCATTTATGGAATGCCTACCCTCTCAATTTGCTGCTATCTGGGGTTCTTTAAGCCCCTATTTCCTAAAATACTGACAACAGTAATACCTACTTCATGGTGCTTTTACAAAGATGAAATTATGTACACACAACTTCAAATTTAAATTTTTTGAATTTAAAATTTTGAGACAGGGTCTTGCTAAGTCTCTTACTTTTCTGTTGTGTTCCTGCTAGTTCTTAAGATTATTTGGCTACCTGGAAGGGACTATGTCCCCTGGAGTAACCAGCACCCTGGCCTCCCCATGATTTATGTTCAATTCATTACTGTGGGGCTAGAATAAATCAGATTATCCTATCACCTGGCCAATCAAGAGATCATTTACAGCAGGGGTGGGAAAACTTTTTCTGGAAAGGAGGCAGATCATATCTTAGCTTTGTAGGCCTCTGTTGCAATTACTAAACTCTACTGTTGTCATCCAAAAGCAGCCACAGACAATGAGTAAGCATGGCTGTGTTGCAATACAACTTCATTTTCAGAATCCATGTGGTGGGACAGATGTGACTCACAGGCTGTAGTTCACTACCCATCTGTTACTTAGAGTAACAAATATGAGGAAGCAACACTTCTAAAAATTTCAATTCTCAATCATCAGTTAGTGCCTATCTGTTTAGAAACTCTAGTGTCTTTCTGCAATCTATGATGGTAATTTTATGAGTCTGGGGCAAGGTTCACCAGAAAGATGTACATGCTGTGTATCAGTGTTCAATATGTTGTGCAATTTCTCCCATAATCAGGATTCACAGGACCAGGAATCATGGGGTAAAAATGGGAGTGGCACCGCTCACAACTGCCCCTACTGATCCACTAGCAAAATGTTTGCTTTTGGTTCCCGTAACTTTACACATAGTTGGAAAAGGAGGAACACTGCTACCAGGAGAGTGAATAATAATTCACTGAACAGTGATCTGGCCACTGGGCTCCTCATGCATCTGCATCACCTGGCAAAAAGGCAGTCGCTGTGGTGGGGTGATTGTATCTAACAAGGGGAAACTACTGTTACTCCACGATAGAGGTAAGGACAAGTGTGTCTGGAATACAAGGAACACTGGAGGGAGTCTTTGTGTTACTATGTTCCGAAACTAAAGTCAGTAGAAAACTATAATAAAATCTCCACTCAGGCAGGACTAAAGTCTTAGACACTGTGGGAAGGAAGGTTTGGGTTACCTGACCAAGAAAAGAGCTACGACCAGGTGAGGTACTTGCTGAGGGGAAAGGGAATAGGGCTGGTTAGTGGAAGAAGGTAGTTATAAATAGCAGCAATGACTATATGACCAGTTGCAGAAAAAAAGAACTTTGTCATGAATATTTATTTTTTATGAATGTTTGCACATATGTAAATATCCTTGTTTTCCCCTTACATCATAAGATGTATTAACTTTATATAAATACTGTCAATTTTAACACAGTAGTTAAATTATAACATATCAAGGACAAAAACAAACATCATGTTGCATCGTCTTCTAGGGAAAGGGTTAGTGCATTTTTACATGGGGCATTTCCATCATGCGGGGGGGATTATGACCTTGTTATGGTCTTTACTTGAGATCAAGTAAGGCTTAAGATATGTACAGATGCCAAGTTGACAAAGGGTAGATCTGTGATGTTCATTTTATGCATCAACTTGGCTAGGTCAAAGTTCCCAGATATTTGGCCAATATACAGATTACTAGATGTTTCTGTGTGGGACTGACTTGATTGACAGACTGATTGTGGTACCAGGAATTGAACTCAGTGTTTTCACACTGAGCTACATTCCCAGTCCATTTTTAAAATTTTGAGACAAGGTCTTGTTAAGTCACTAAATTGCCCAGGTTTTTCTTGAGCTTGAGATCCTTCTGCCTCAGCTTCCTAGAATGCTGGGATTATAGGCATGTGTCATACCTGGCTGTGTAGGTATTTTTCAAATGAGATTAACATTTAAATCAGTAGATATTTGGTAAAGCAGATTGTGCTCCCTAAATGAGGCCTCACCCCATGAGCTGAAAGCGTAAAAGAGAAAAGACTGACTTCCTTTGATGAAGAGGGAATTCTGTCAGGAGACTGCCTTTGGACTTGAACAGCAGCATCAACTATTCTGTGTCTCCAGACTACCAGCTTATCTGAAGATCTTGGATTTGAACTTCTACAATCCCATAAGCCAATCTCCTAAAATAAATCTAAAAATTTGTGTGTGAGGTGTATTTCTCTACACTATCTTATTGCCTCTATGTCTCTCAAGCACCCTAACATACAATCTTTTCTAAAATCTTGCATTTGTGCTTTGTATTCTTGGTGACAGAAACCTTTATGACTAAAGATATCTTTAGTATAAGGAACAAATAAATAAACACTGATTTTATTCCCACAGGTAAAAGAAAATCATCTTTAGAAAGTATTCTTTTGAAAAGCAACAGAGCAAAGAGTTAGTTATGCAAAGCAATGTCCTACATTTGGGTGTACTTTTCCTAGAAATATTCAGTTCTTGGTTAGATTAATCATAGGTCCTGTGGTCTCACTTTAAGGTTAGAGAGGCTAATTTTACATCTGGAGATTTGAAACCACAATATCTTACATTGACAGAAATTCTGAGTATGTGATATCTATATAATGTGTTTTTAATTAGGTTGGACATGGTATTTGGTTAGGATCTTAAACTGATTGGCCTAAACTTACTTTTCCTTGGTCTCTGCCAAACTACAATATAAAGGACACAGCTGGTGACTGAGAAGAGCTGGCTTATAAAGGAATGCAATTTGTGTGAGTTTTGTGGTTGTATTCACCAGGCTCTAATCAACAAAACCGGCTGGCAGAGAGATATTCATCTTAGAGAGACCCAGGGCTGTACCAGCCATCATATATGGGATAATTTCCTAGCTAACCCTCCCATGGCAGTGTCCTCAAACATCACAGTTGTGGTTTAATGGAATTTTCAATTCTTCAAAGGAAGAAAGCAATAAACAGGAGGGATTCATCCATTTCTAAATGATACAGAAGGTGCGCACCACGAAATGATGTGACAGAACTGGCTTGGCTGAGCTCCTTGTAGCCTAGAGACTTGGCTTCCTGGACAACAGTGAAGAAAGCTATTCACACACCCCACACCCATCCCCACCCAGCCTGAGCCAACCAATACCAGGCTCTTCAAACAGTCCCCAGTGCTTTCTGTGTCCCGTTGTCCCTGGCATCCTTGGCAGCACTCTGCTTGTCTTAAGTCCTGGGGAGACTTCCTTGGTAACCTGATTTAATTCTCCCCTCCTTTCTGAGGATGACTCTGACCACTGTTCCTTTATAGCACATATTACAGTTATTAATAACAACAGCAGTCACAGTAACCAACATATATCAAGCACTGAATAGGGACCAGCCTGTTTCATGTATTTATTTGAATATTAAGAGCTTCTTATAATCACACATGACTTGAGTAACAATACCTGCCTGTAAAAACTAAGGGTTAGAAAGTAAGTTGCCCAAGGGCATATAGGGTATCATGTGTGTATGGCCTGTATCTAGATGTCCCCATAAATCTTTATGCGGTCATAGGTGGTGAGTTTTGAAGGTGGATGCATTAGGGTAAGTGATACCAGGATTAAGAATATGAAGCTGGGATTAAGGGTGCCTGACCCTGGGTGTGGATGGCACCACTCAAAAGATGAGTAGCCTGGATGGAATATAAAGGGACAGAAAAAAACCGCTTCCATTGCTGCTGCTGCTTTGCTTGCTGCCTTCTGCTTGCCATGAACTGTTTCTCCTCTGTGATGCCCCTGTGCCGAGCCACCCTGCATTGGACTCAGATAACTATGGACTGAAACCTCTAGAAACTGTGAGCTAAACAAACCTTTCCTCCTTCAACTTTAGGTGCTGGATATTTTATCTCAGCAATGAGAAAAGCAACTAAGACAATGTGGAAGCATGGTTAGATCCAAATCTATCTGATTCCATATGAGGCACCTCACTCAAGCATGCACCTAGAGGGGCTGAGTCTTTACATGTGAACATCTCTTTACATCTCTGTCTTTACATGTGAACTGAGTACTCAAGTGTTTGCGATGGTCATGTAAAGGGCTTCAAGTTCAGCACGTGGAAAACAGGTAGAGGGGTCAGGGAGGAGGGCTGTGTTATAATTGGTGTACAAAATGCTAATTAGGGGATTATTTCCTATTAAGTATAAAACCTGAAATATAAGAATGGCTCAATGTGTGTGAGTTCAGTACATAATGATTTAGACAGAGAATATATCATATAACCAAATAAGCATACATGAATTTAAAGCCATAGAGAATTATACACAAACACACAATCAAACATAAATAATGCACATACATTCTGGGTGCATCTAAACTTTATAGACTTCTAGTGATTAATCATGAATGGAGTGGGATAAGATTATCTTCTATATTACATACCTTCTGGAATGCATTGTCCAAGAACAAACTTATACCCTTTGCAGCACTTTTTCCTAAAACACAAACAAAAAGGCATTTTAAATGCAATGGTAGATTAAATATAAAATTATTTTCAGTGATTGGTTTTGAATGAAATAACCTGCTCTCGGGAAGAGGCATAAAGTACGGTGGGATATTTTAAAGGCAATTTGAGATTACAGGGAAAAATACTACCAAAATCAGATGACCACATCTTCCCATACCAGGATCTGTTACACAATATATCAAATCAATCCTTTGAATCCTACAAAGTAAATTGATTACCTGTGGATGTCAAGATATTTATAATTAGATACATAACTATAAAAAAACTGGATAAGGATTTGAGCTGTCACCTATCACCAGCAAGGGCTTTTACTTTTTACTTTTAGTCTACCTAAGAAAATTGCCTACTAGAAGAAAATTATATATACACTCTGAAAAAATACAACAAGATCCAGGGTCTCCAGAATATAACACATACTTTTGTGGTTGTATCCACCAGGCTCTAACCAACAGAACTGGCTGGCAGAGAAATACTCAGTTTAGAGCGAAGACCGCACTCCCAGAAAACCCATATGTTGGAATGATCAGACTTTAAAGTAGCTACTTTACTGGTATGTTCAATGACATCACAGAAAATATACTTGTAATGAATACAAATGCAAGGAATCTCAACAAAGGAACTATTAAAAGAACAACATGGAAATCGTAAAATACATCTGAAAATTTTTTTTAATCTGCAGAATATGTTTAACAAAAGAATGGAAAGATAATAAAGTATTAGTGAATTTGAATGTACATTATCCAATCTGAAGGATAGAGATTTAAAAAATTTTAAATGAATTTAGAAACAAATGTAGATCCAGGCATGGTAGCACACATATGTAATCCCAGCACTCTGAAGGGTTGAGCCAGGAGGATCACAAATTTGAGCCCAGCCTGGTAACTTAGTGACTTAGATCCTGTCTCAAAATAAAAACTAAAAAGGACCAGGGATATAGCTCAGTACAAAGACCCTGGATTCAACCCTCCGTACTACAAAACCAACAGCAAAGAACGAAGACTCACAGGCTTGTGGGGCCAGCACCAGAAGTCTATTTCTATGGATATTTGGAATTCCAAAAGGAGAGGAAGGAGTGAATAGAGTAGAAAATTATATTTGAAAAACCAATAGCTGAAAATTTCATGAATTTAGTGAAAGAAACAGATTTTGCAGATTAAGAAGTCTAGCAAATGCCAAATAGGTTAAATACACACATGCAAAATGCCTAGATATATCACAGTCATAGTGCTGGAACCTAAAACTCTTGAAGGCAGAGAAAAATTATTATATACAGGGAAAATATAATTTTAATGATCATGACCTTCTCATTAAAAAATACTATTGGTAACCAAGAGACAGGGTGTGACATCTTTTAAGGGCTGAGGAAAAAAACCCCTGTGAACTCAGAGTCTAACATGAACCCAGTATTCCATCTCCAAAATGAAGGTGGAAATAAAGACACTTCAAGTAAATGAAAACTGAGAAGTGATCACCAGCAGACCTGTACTACAGGGCTTGCTAAAGGGAAATTATATCAGAAGGAAACTTAAATGAAGTGCATCATAAATGGTAAATATCTAGATGTATATAAAAGACTTTTTTCTTACTTTTTGTAGAGAAAACATTTTAACATTGTCTTGGAAGGTTTGCAATGCACATAGATTCAAAAAATGATGTCTATAGGTAAAAACAGCAGAGGGGTAAATAGACTTATATGTTCCTACATTTTATGTTAAATTGCACAATATGGACCTTTCTCACTGGAACAAACATTCCCTCTGTCTCTCCATGTATTCTGCTTCTATTAATTTCCCTTCCCTTCTTTTGCAGATAAATCCACATGAGCTTCCCTTTACCACTTCCAACAGCATGCATCAAAGGCAGAGAATTAAGCCAGCTTCAGTGAATCTGCAGCTCTAGGGAATACATTTCAAGATACTTCAGGTTGACTATAATAGCCATACTACCATTAAAAAAAACCTTTTCTTTTATAAAGAAATTAGATTCTTATTACAATATCTCTCTCTCTCTCTCTCTCTCTCTTTTTTTTTTTTTTGGTGCTCGGGATTGAACTCATACAACATCATTCTTATTTGAATTTGGACACCTTTCCTAAGTGGATAAGTTAAACACAGTCAGCCAGCCGGGGACTGCACAGTACATGCAGCCTATCAAGCCACCTGTGTGGACATGCCATTTGTGCAGTGCAATGCTGAAAGGTCCACAAACTCTTGATCTGGGAAATTACACACTATCTGAGTCCTACAGTAAGTCCCTACCTTCATCAAATGGTCACAACCACTGGATACAGTGACATATGCCTGTAATCCCAGCTACTCTGGAAGCTGAAGCAGGAGGATCACAAGTCTGAGACCAGCTTGGGCAATTTAGAGAGACCCCATCTCAAAATAAATAAAAAGGGTTGGGGTTCCATCCCCAGTAGCGCACAAACCAACAACAACAAAAACAATTAGAACTCTCAACCAGGTTAAATATGGCCTTCTGTCTAAAAAAGATATTTCATATGGTTGACTTAATTTTTTCCATCACATTTTAAATAAAATGCGTAAAAAATAATAAGATTATTTTCTACTGTTGCAAATTGGGATAATCTAACTATATTATCGGCCAAATGAATTTGTGTGGCTTGTCTGCTATATGAGTTATCATTCATAGAAGAAACTTAAGCAATCTCTTCCTAAAACATGAAAAAAACATGTTATTAAATTCTTAATTTATAAATGTTACATAAAATGTACTAAAAAGTCACACATTTCATAAAAGTCACATTTGTAAGAGAATTCTGAAGCCGAGTTAGATATAGAAATACCATTTTGTTTTACCGCTAGCAGCAGTTTTTATATGCAGCCCAACGGTAGTAAATATCTTATTTCAAAAACATAGAAGTGGATTTTCACTACAAAAAACAGTGGCATTTGGGATGCTCTCAAAACACATTCAGGTGAATTAGCTAAGGTTCTCCATCCATCCCCCATTTCCTGCCTATACTTATTCTCCCAATATAGATCAATGTATTAATCCTGCAATTTACTGATATGGATGACATGTGACAAGGTCCAGAGTTTTCTTAGTAGAAATAACTTCCCAACATCTTCACCTAAAATATAATCTCACATGCTCCTTCACAAGGGAGGCCTATGAGGATATAAATTTATGACGACGATGATGATGTTGGAACAGACACAGACCTACTTTTACATTACATGGAACTTAAACTTGGTCTAGTTTTCCAAGGTTTAAAAAAGTCCATGCTAACAAAAGGAAAAGTGGCCCATTAAGTTTTTATGGTTATTACCTACTGCGTTACTTGAGAATGTACTACAGAAAACTGTAAGAGGAAGAGCAGTGCGCTAGATAATTTGGTTTTTTTTTTCTTGTAATAATTTCATTTTATTGGTACATTGTAGGTATGCAACACAATTACATTTCTCACTGGGAATTGTACCTTTACATAATGCATCTTGGTTCTTATTTTTTCCCCATTCCTAGCCCTCCCTTCACGCCCTCCACCCTTCCCTATTTACAAAGACTTTAGTTCCATTTTTTCCATTTCTCAGCATTTTTCTTTCCCTTCTTTCCTTTCCCCTGCCCCTCCCACTACCCCTACCCCTTTGGACCTTTTCCTCCTATTTTGCATTAACGATTATTCATTCTAATCATTGGTACATTTTAGGTATACAATATAATGACATTCATCATTGGAAATTTGCACCTTTACATAGTCTCTCTTGGTTCTTATTTTTCACCCTTGCCCAGCCCTCCCTTCACCCCTCCATTCCTCCCCATTTACAAAGATTTTGTTCCTATTTTTCCATTTTCTCATATTAATCCCATTCCCTTCTATCCTTTCCCCTAGCCCTCCCACTTCCTTCCCCTTTGCCCCTTTTCTTCCTATTTTACATTACCTATTACACATTTTAGTCCTTATTTACACTTTCAGTTTCTCACATCAGAGAAACTAGTCGGTATTTATACATGTGTGTCTTATTTATTTCACTTAAGAGTATCGCCTCAATGTGCATCCACTTAGCTATAAATGTCTCTAATTTCTCATTTTTTATGGCTGAGTAGTACTCCATTTTATAAAAAAACCACATTTTCTTTATCCAGTCTCCAGTTGATGGGCATTTCAGCTGTTTCCAAGTTTTAGCTATCACAAACTTGCACTAGATAATTTGAAACCCAAATAGACCCATGAGAAAGTTGGACAGAGGAAAAAAAACACGTCTTTGATACTCAAGTCTAATACCACATTTAAACATGTGGTTCTATGAGTCTGTTTCTATTTAAATTCTGCTGCTAAGGTATAGCTTCCAAGATATTCCAAAGCATTTTAAAAAATGGATATGACCCTTGCAATCTATCAACATCCAAAATGTAAAACTTGGGCACTCTGACCCTTTTGAGCATTTTAAGGACTTGTGACCATCCATACAGTGGAGCTGGAATCAACTTGTCATTTGCTTTCTTATGAAATTAAATGACAATGAAGTGATTTGTTATGCTTTCAAAAAGCTTCCCTGTCAGAAGAAGAGCTGAGTTTCAGAATGGGCATGCGTCATGTAAATACCTGCTCAGTTAAGAATTAACTTCTCCTTTGGGTTTTTTCTTAATTGTGTAACTGATTCCAGCTTTCTGCTCCAGGGAAACAGTGCTCAGACTCCAGGGCATCAGCCTGCCTTCCCCAGAGGTCCTGGGAACACATCATTATTTTGCACATTAAACACTCACCAATCATAAATTACCATTTAAAATAAATAATGATATATTTCAAAAATAAACACTGGCTGCATATGTTACAACATTTCAAAGATTACTTACAACATAATTTATGTATAAGTTGAGACAGCCAAAGTGAAATCTTGTCATGCAAGCCAGGGCACTTGTTAGGCTAACTACAAACTAGGCTAACTACAAACTAGGCTAACTACAAACAGTGCTGTGCAGTTTTTATCTTTAAGAAAAACAAACTAAGTTGAGGAAAGCTCATGGGGACTCTGGGGGGGGGGGCGGTGGTCATTCTTAATACGCTTCATGTGTTGTAGCTTGGTTTTCTAAATGCAAATGCTTTTCTCATTTTTTGGCCAGGGGAAGTGGTGATCAGATGGTTGTTACATAGAAAAGGCCATGTCTGGTAATCAAGGAAGCCTGTGGATGTTTCCCCTGGGTATCCCTGAGAATTACTACATATAAAAATCTCTTAACAGTGCATCCAGAAATAAATCCCAGCAGTCAGGTGTGTGAGAACTTTTGGAGGGAAAAACCAAATCAAGAAAGTAAACAGAATAGCAGCATCAGACTGTTTAGAGCAGTGGTGGCAAACCTACGGCACCGGTGCCACAGCAGGCTGTTTGTTTTGCTCTAAAAGGTTTGCCATCACTGGTTTAGAGTCTACAAAAAAGTTTTAAAAAATCTGCCTACAGAATTAAGGCTCCAGAAAGTACCTTAAAAAGTCAAGTGCTATTTACTCTCATGCTGCAAAGCAAAGCTAAATTTTCTTAAACTCTGCTTGGGGTTTCCCTTGCATAACTGCCTTCTCATGCACCAGATATATAGGACTTGTTTTTGAATGAAAGAACTCCATTTTGGAGAGAATCTGATAGGCTCTGGTATCAAACTACGTGTGCATGTAGTAGATAGATCACTAGTTTGGGATCCAGCAAACCTGTCTTACAGTTTTGGCTCTAACATTTAGCAATGCAACCTTAGCCTCGCTACTTAAACTTGCTGAGCTTCAGACTCCTTGTGGATAAAGTACAGATTTTTAAAAATTGCCTTATGGGATTATTGTAAGGATTACAGATAATATAATGAAAGTGCTTAGCCCAGGCCTGGCTTGAGGTCTGAAAAGTGCTCCAGCTGCAGCTTTATGAACAGAGCAAAAGCAGTTTTCTTACTAGTTGCTTTCTGGTTGTTTTTACCTTGTAACTCATCTCTTTTTCCTACTTGTTACTCAATGACAGACATTTCTCCTCCCAAAAACAAAATGGGGAGGAGGAGGGAAAGAAACTTCTGATTACCAAGATGGTAGAGAAGTAATATTTTTTTTCCTTTTTCTTTCACACGTTAATACCAAATGATGAAAATCAGAAATAAACTTGTAAGCCTCATACCTCATGGTTTAGGAGTCAACTCTAAACCTGAAACATGACACAGTAGTACCTTGGTTCACAAACTCAATTCTCTCCACAATTCTGGTTGCAAACTAAACTGGACGAGAACCTAATTAAATTTCTCCATAAGGTCAACATGGAACCTAACCACCGAATTTGATTTGGTTCTCATCCAATTCAGAATCATGGAAAGAATTAAGTTCATGAACCAAGGTACCACTTTTAGGAACATGGCAAATGAATGGAAAGATGGGAGAGATTTTTCAGAGTAGAATAACTCGAACCTAGGTACCTTCAAGGGTAGCTACTATGGAGAAACTAGCCAGCCCACCCTGCAGAACCTCAGCAGGGCTTAGAAACTGGAAGCACCAGCTACTGAGAACAGCGGAGGCCAAAGACAGCTAGGTGACCTGCAAGTCTTCCAGTGCCCAACTCCACGCAGTCAGCTAGATCTTCTTTGCACGCTATTGCTAGAAGTCTATACACGTGAAAAATTACACCCCAGATGTTCAAAATTGTGCCTCAGAGGTTCATGGTTCTGGAACACCAAGCTAGAGAGAACTGAGGGAAACCTACTCACCAGTAAATAATCCTGTCCAGGCACTCAGTAGTTTCTGAATACTGTCAAAGAGCCCATTCAATGTAATTCACTCCAGAAAAATAAAGGGCCTCTAAATGGCTTCTAATGGCAAACTAGAGGGTGGCTCCCCAACAGCTGCTCAGCCCTAAATGATCATAAAAGACTTAAAACTAGAAGAACCCAATTTGCATCCTTTATGTTCATCACTCCCACCATGCTTCAGTGAGCCTGAGAAGGGAGTCCCTAAGAAACTTCTGCCAGCAAGTAGCACACAGTCTATGATCCCTCAGGGACAACTGTAAAGGGCTGAGGGTTTAAAAGTTGTACTGAATTTCTACGTAAATTTCCTTAGTGTGAGGAATCTTTTCCCCCTTCCTTTGAGCCTTCTTCCCTTGCTGAAATCTTTATGGAGCTCTGCGTGACTTCATGTGAGCTACTATAATTCCTTTTACGCTAAAGTCTGAGAACAGAGTGAACACAATGACTCACCTCACATGTGGGCACACTGCTCAAGTTTTAACCAGAAGGAGTGCTCCTCTTAGGCAAATGTAGCAGTACCACATTTCACACCATGATTATTCAGGTTAAACACAACAGAACCTCCTCACCTATTTATTTATCCACATGTAAATTTGTTATAATCAAATCTTGCTGACAATGTTAAATCATAAGCATTTGAGTATAACTTGCTATTATTTGCACAATTACCGATGGCATGGTCAAATGAGGAAAATAGTATGGCGGTTTGCATGAAAAAGAGTTACCATGT